CCAGCCTTTGAAAGGCTGAAAAAAAGGAAAATATTTCGCATGTCTTTCAATCTTAAAAAGGTAGATAGAAATAGTTTTGAGAATTACCAGCAATGCAAATTAAATTATATCCGATGCTAATGATAATAGTAAGAATTTTCAAGTTTGAAATTGTCAAAAAACTGCATGGGATATTAGACAATATAATTATTTACCAGAAAGAAGAAGACCTTTGGAAATATCAAGCAATGCAAAGCATGGCTCACACTGAAAGTATTAGGGTTCTGTTTAATTCTTATATAATGAACTACAAAGAATACCTTCCAAATGCAGTCCAATCTTTCCCTTGACATTCCTAGCATGCTTTGAGTTGTATGTGCCAAAGGAATCTAGGTGCACAATCTTTCTATGGCTTTTAGAATATACCAAAATAGTCCTTGAAAAAACACCAAAAGATTGATGAATCTCTACTTGATTATAAATTATTAATGAAGATTCATGTTACCAGTCACTCATAAAATGCTTGATAGCATTAAGGAAGACTGAATATATCCCCCTGTTCATTATAAAATTATACCACTGAACCCACAAGTGACTTTATTTCAAAGTAATCTTAGGAAGACAGAGAAAAGGCAATCAAAGAAAAAAATGGGGACTGAGCTGTTACATCAGTTAACAGTAAATCATAATTGACCATTTATGACGTCATAATTATAACAGGGGTGGACTTAAGCAACAATTATTGGGGGTGGGGGTGTTAGACACTAATTTTGATGCCACACCCTTCAGATCACTGGAAAATGATGGAAACGCCCACTTTTGAAATTTGGTTTTAACAGTGGCGTAGCCAGATTCGGAAGATTGGTAGGCCAAAGAATTTGGTAAAACACCCATTTTGTAAACGTGTTTGAAAAAGCCATATGGCCTTTTTACGTGGCAATTTCCCTTTATTCAACGTTGTAGGAGGCTGAACATATTCTACAACAGTCTATTTTCTTCACAATTCCACTAACGTTTATATCCTGAATTGTGTAAGGCGAGGAATCTCTGCGTGTAAAAAGTTATTTTCTAAAGTTGTAATCAAATATCTAAAAAAATAACAGTATTCAAAAGTTTTAATCCAAGTCTGTTTTCCTTGAAGCAAAGTCCAGGACAACATTTCAGAATCCAGTTTCTTTCAAGGATTGGACTGCTTTAGCATTTTAGTTTCTATTTTATCAGTAATGTCTCAAGAACGTGAAGACTTTTCTATACAAACCGAAAACGAGGGAAAATTTCTGAACATTGAGGCATTGCTAAGCATTGAGAAAAATTTTACAACAATGCCCTTGAGATCAGCTTAAAATACATTTGAGAATACCCCCCCCCCTCCCCCGCTTTGCTACTGATAAGAAGATAAATACTGATAAAAATAAATATAGTAAAATCTTGGCATTACTTTGTTACTATTGACTACCAACAAATGATTTTTACTGAATGAAACAAAATTTACCAAAAGACACAAAACTATTGGGAGGGTGTTGCACCCCCTACACCCCCGATAATCCATCCCTGGATTTAACTATAGATCAAAGAAGAAAATTGATGAATAATCAAAGGTTGCAAAGTTAATTAATCTTAGTAACAGTTGCTTGTAACACAGATCATACCAATGAGTTCCACTTATAGAATCAGTTGACATCCCATCATTAACAGGCACAATGATAAACTTCTTATTCTGCAGATCCAAGGACTCAAGAATATCATCTATTTCCTTTTTATCATTTCCTAAAAACAGATTAGGTTGGTTGTTTCATAATGTTGACTTCAAAGTAACAGAAACAGCCATTAAAAAAATAGGCATGCATGGATTTTGGTTTCAGCAAAGACCCCAAAGAAAATTTGACAATTTTGGCCACAATCTTTACACGGTGTTACAACTAACAAATTAAGCTGAACAAATGATTTTTGATACAACCAACTAACGGAACATTGGGGGCATTTGACAACCCAATTATACTTCAGATATTGATATAAACGCACAATGAGATATTGATATAAAAACTGTAAATGTGTTTTACTTATTAATACAAAAATCCATATTAAATGAATTGTACAATGGGCCTATAGATGAGTACGTGTTTCAAATTGCCAAATTAAAAATCATAAAAAATTCCATATAAGACAATAGGCTGCAGGGTAATAGGTTACAAATTTCTTTGGCAGTTTATGTAGACACTTATTTTAGATGACTATGTTAAAGATGTAGACACTTATTCATTTTTACAGTTTCCTACATTAATCAGACACTTATTCATGAATAGTGAATCTCAGGGGGGAGGAATGCAGCTTGCAAATTTTCTGAGAATCAGTTTACATTAAAAATAACGATGTCATGAAACGCATACCTAGATTTTGGAGTTGTCGATTTTGGAATAGAAAACAATTGCAATATTTAGCAACATGAGATTTACTTGCACTTTCCTTCAATTACTGGTTTCATTTTAAGAAAAACTTAGAATGAAAATTGTAGAAATCTTTAACTAGATGATTTCCTTAGCAATGGTTTGCCAGCAAACTTGCAAAATATTTTATCATAACCAACAGTGTCAGCTATTTACATTAGAGACTTCTCTGTTGTCTCTTTGTTGGTTGCAGCCTGGTTTTTTTCTAAAAAAGCTTGAGCTTTGAATGGTGTGCCCATATTTGCAATTATCTTGTGTTTGACTGTCTTTGAAAACCTTTCTTGTCTACAATATTTTTGGCAGACTCCTTTTTGTGCTAGTTAGTTTCTTTAAACTTTGATAGTTTTCTATGGACGACCAAATTTCTGAAAAATTTCTGAAAAATTTCTAAATGGTCTATCCCAGGAGGCACATACCTCTTGTCCCAAGCTATGACCACCCAGGTTGCAATAACAACTTGATTGAATCAGAAATTAGAATGTTTATAATGAAGATCAATGATCAATGCCCATAGATATGTATGGAAATGTCTATAGATACTTAGAACATAACTAGTGTAAAAAATAAACTTCCTTGGTCCAAAAGCAGAAATAATCTCCACACGTGTCAATTATTCCACAATTAAACAACAAAACCTCACCTTTGGTATAATGGGGCCTTAAAGGAGAGAAATAATATACTTATGTCAGGCCAGGCCATAAGACTTTTACCAGGGGAGCAGTAAACAGTTCTTCTAGTAATTTCCAGGTAAGTTATTCATAAATGAATATGAATAGAGAAAAAAGGAAAAATATATTTCAAGATGAGCAATTTGCTTTTAAGAGCAATTTAGGAGAGCAATATCTAGCTCCTCTCAAGCATTTGGGAGGATCTGGAGAGGAAGAGCTATGGCTCTCCTCAAACAGCCAGGCCTGCTTACTTCATTTTTTGCATTGATTGAAGACAAAATAAATTTTCCTAGAATTTGTTAGGTGCTACCTGAAAATGGCATTTAGCTGTAAAAAGTCTCAGTCCCGTAGCGTGTCAACAAATTAACTAAACTACCAAAAAAATTACCTTGATAAAGTTTTAAGAATTGTGACACTTGTGGAGCAATAAGATAAACATCCTTTGAAATGTCTTTAAACTGCTCTGTGGCAAAGTACCTATAAAGTTGAATAAAACGTATGTAGGAGGTAAAGATAGGAAAAGGCAATACAGCAATACAAAGAAAACAGTTCGTGATTCAAAGTTTACTTACTCTAAGGCAAACCCCACAATAGTATCATTTATCCAACCCCGAGGCTCAAGCAGTTGGAAATCTTTTTCGTATATCAAACTGTTACCATAGCTTAGAACAACAGCACCTTGTGTCATATCCTCAAAATTATCACTCGAAGAAACATGCAACTCAGCCACCTGATCTGAAATTCTATAGCGTGGTTCATTTACATTCCCCATTACTACTTTATGATACAGCGCACGGAACTGGCAAGATGAAGTATGGAATAAAACTGAACTGAAACCGAAACTAGAAACCTGACATTTAGATTCCAAGAACTCAAAAGTGGAATCTACATTACTTCTAGAAAACCGCACTAGCCTAGCGAGGGGGCCAGGGGCGAAAATACCGGGGGAGTGTGGGGGGGGGGGGGTATTAGGGCAAGGTTGAGTCCATACAAATTAATTTAAGTTGTAAATTTTTTTTCATGACAGGCACGGCGTCACTGGGTGGAATAGGGGGCTGAAGGTAAAGATAGGAATTTTTTTATCATTTTTTCTATTACTTTCTAACATTGCATGAAATAAAAAGAAAACAAACTGTTAAGATGCCGATTTTTTTTGATCTAATTGCTAACTTTTTCACGTATATTTTTATTATTTTTCTTTTATTTGCATTAATTCAGTAAATCACTTTCTGTATCATTGCAATGTTTTAATTTTGGATGTGTAAACATGGCCTTCTCGATACAAGAAACTGCACATTTCTGTTCAGGAAATAAAATTCTCCCAATCAAAACAACATCTTCCTCTGTCATTCACAACTATGTGCAATCTTAAACGAAAGGTTACCGTTTCTTTCCTTCCCCAACGTCTTATCACTAGAGTTTTAGTATAACATGCCCCTCCCTATTTTTCCCAATAAACAATGATCAGGTTTTTTAGCACAATAGTATTTTGCTAAATTTTAGTCTGAAAGATGCTTTTTAGCCCTATTACAAGGTATAATTACAAAAGTTTTCTTCACGTCGGACCTAACCACGGTGGGTCCTCCTATCTCAGTAAACTTGGATCTTAGTCCCCCCCGGGCTAAATTTCGTCGCACCGTCTACATCATGTAACCCCCCCCCCTACCATATGCCATGAAATACAAGCTTTATTACAAATGAAAATCAAATTTGACATTTAATTTACGCTCACGTAGAGAAATAGAAGATATTTCATAGGCAATGAAGTTCCAAGTTTATTGCTTAGAAGTTTTTCCTTGGTAAAGACCAGTGTACACTGGTAAAGCTTTCACTAGTAACCTATAGAGTATAGACAAACATTTGCTACGAGGTCTGCAGGGCACCACTCATTTTCGCAGGGCAGAAACCCTTTTCACCCCCCCCCCAAACCTATTGGCCAAGTTACGCCTCTGAGGGGGCCGAGGGGGCAGTCACCATCCCCCTCAATGCAAAGAAAGTTAGTTTTGAAGAAAAGTGCAAGCTTGCAATAAAATGAGTTACTCAAAGGTTATTCATTTTCAGACAAAATTAAGATCAGGAAAGGATCAAACAACGGGAAATATACTCCGGGTACCAAACCCCACGTGAAAGAGTGTATCGAAAACAATGGAAGGACGAACTCTTTCATTGAGGCTCTGCTACCCAGGGTACCGGAAATAATGAAACAAAATTATATTGTTGGGCATACAGTTGATAAAAGCTCCCTCGAATGCCCTCTATTTCGAACATTCGTTGAATCAAATACTTTGAGATTTCTTTTTTGTGGAAATTTCCTATTTGCTCGATAAAAGTTCACAGGAAAAACTCGAGTTCTTCTATTGAGTATGCTTTAAGTTGCTGAATTATATTCTGAATTGGATCAATTAATAGACCAACAGTTTGTTTATAAAAATTGGGTAATAATTTAATCTGGTCGATTAAAAAGGAACTAGCTTGTAATGATTTTCACAACCTCTTCAAAGATCTTATCGAAGATATATAGATGATGAAATTGGACATTTTTATTCTTATATTTCACTCCTGAATTTCGAAATCTGAAGCACAACTACTAAGTACGTGATGTTATAGGCGGAATAAAAATATTTCGAACCGAAGAGAAACGATAGTATTAAGCAAGCACTTTTCCACAGCAAATTTAAAAAATTTCAATATACATCGCAAAAAAAGTAGGAATTATTGCCTATAAAGCGTCACAAAAGTCATAAATGCAACTTATATTAACATTGGTAAAGATCTGCGCGAATATATAAATAAGCATACAGAGTGTATTCAAATCATAATATTAAAACCACGTTGAAACTTTGTATTTTGATATTTCTAGGTATTAGATTAACGTCCTTGTTGTAACGGTGACGGCGTCATCACGGGGAGACGTCCCGGTCACTAACAACGATATCAAAATCAGGCATCGTGAGCAGAGATGTGATGGGGGGGGGGGGGCTCAGGGGGCCGCAGCCCCTCTTGTTAAAATTTTGGAACAAAGTGGAGGGGTCAGCCCCACCCTCATTGTTTGTGCTTGGATACAGCCAAGAATCATATAATGCAAAGACAGCTGTGAAGAAGTGAAGAATTGTTACTCCACCAATGGTCAGCCATTGACAACTAAACCAGAAAAGGAAAAGAGAAACAATTGAAAGATTTTAAGGCATTGCAAGCTTTATATGCATGAAAATGTACACAAAGTTTGACATATATAGATAGAAAATAATTGAATGATTTCTTACTGAGTACGTTTAGTTGCAGTTTTGTAGAGACAGTTGGTTTTTAAGAAATGCCTGAATCAACAAACGGTGCTATTATTTGACCCTGTCTTGTCTAGTTCTAATATTTCATGCACTACACCCTTTTTAATAAGAGCACTGGATGCTCTTATTCTTTGGATAATTTTAGGCTCGTGTGTTCTTAAAGCTGTATCTATTTCAAAATTGATTTTCTATATCTGCAAACTATGAACACTTTCCAAGTCCACTGAATAACAGTTCTGCGAGACATTTTTAGTAGCATTGTTCATTAGCTGATAAAATCACCTTTGTTTTGTTAACACGGGAGGAAATTTTTCAATTCAAAATTCAACAAATGGGTCATTATTATTAAAAAAGTTCTTCCTTATCGATGCCATAAATATTTTAGATGCATTTCTTGCCATTCTTGGAATGCCATATCTCAAAATTTTTCTCGCCGCCAACCATTGTGGAGGCCTTTACTGAACCCTTGAGCAATAAAAACATTTGCCTCCTCTCTTGCAATAAAGTCCCCCCCCCCTGCACTCTTCCCCAAAGATTTGATGATCTCATCTCAGCTGACGCTCAACACAATCAATGTACCTGGCTCCTCAAACAATGTTTGGAAAAACATCAACCCTCATCATGTTTAAATTTAAATGATTACATGACAAGAACAACTTAGAATTTTCACAGAGCCCCCCTTGTTAAAATTTTACGACTACATTCCTGATCGTGAGTTACCAAGAGCTCTTCAGGACTGTTGCTCCTAAACGTCAAATAAACAACGGAAATTGATTTTGGACAAACTTCATAAAAATGCTCTTCATAGAGCTGCCTGCAGTTACAAAAACTTGTCAAATTACTTGAACTTTTAATGGAAAACTAAGGTTGCAAAAAAATTTAACAATTACGCATAACCTCTGATGTTTTGGCTTTCCCTTTGTTTAAGAAAATGGTCTAACTTCAAAGGTATGCTTGTGAAACTGCTTCGTATGGCTCCTCCGCAGCTGGTTTCGTCAGCGCTTGATACTGCTGTTCATTATCATTCATGTCACAGTATTCCTCTTCCATATCTACATCTAACCCGTCTTTTTTCTGAATACTGTTGTCCTCGACTTCTCCAGGACCATAATAAGGGTTTTGCATTTCCTGGTCAAATACTTCTGTACAACCGTTATTAAAAGCCTCTTTGTAGGAATTTTTGCTCAAAGTTGGTTGGTAATATCTATCAGGATCCAAATATTTTGCATTTTCTTCACCGGCCTTAACAGCATCGATTCGTTCTTTTACATGGGCAGGCTCATAATAAGGGTTTATTTCTCCATGAGAATCTGGTTCCACGTATGCAGCATCTCCTTCATTACCAGTATAGGCATACAAATCTGGCCCTTCACTACTTTTCAGAGCTGGTGCCTCTTCATGTTCTCCCAACTGACTGAAATTGCGGGCATAAGAATATTCAAGAGTTTTGCCTTTCTTGCTTGGTTTGTTCAAAACTGCAGCACTGCTGTAGTAGTGGTCATCCTGGATTGTGGGTTGACCCAATCGCAGGTCTGTGGGACTATGATAATGCTGTGAGCTATCGCGAGTGTTTCCACCATTGTCCTGTTTGACATGTTTTAAAAATGTATCAAAAACGGCAGAAACAATTTTTTCAAGGTAGGACTATCTTTTTTCATACTGATTGTCAATAATTTCATACTAGCAACGAAGAACAGCTCAATTGCTGAATCACGTAGTCATTTCAATAAATAATCAAAAACTGGAAACGGAGAGAAAAGCATTCAAGTAAAAAATTAAACTGGGAAGACAACTTCAAAAAAATATAACGCGAATGACTGCAATGACGACTGGAAGGTGCTTTTAAACAGATAGCATAGTAAAAGAACATCTCAAGTTTCTATGACCAAAGTATTATTTTAGCGGTATTAACCTTCTTAGAAATTCAAATAATGAGTTATAATTTAAAAAACTCAATCACAATGCGTCAGTTTGGTCCTCAAGAAAATGATATTTGCTCTTACATTGGGCCGGCAAAATGGAAACATGCCCTGTGGCCACCCCCATCCCATCCAAAATGCTACTGATTATAAAATACTCAAGAAAAGCAGAACTAAGCATGATAAAGTATTCATTGCATGATTGTATTAAATAAAAACTTACTTTTGCTTCAGTTTCAGGCTGGTATTGAAGCATCTCATAAGAACTTTTTTCATCACCTTGGAAATACAAAAACTGTGTATTATCGCTCAAAAGCCCCTCGTGAAATTAACTCTGATTAAATTTCATTTAATCATCATTAGTTTGATTATGCAAAGTTACACTATTGACTTTGATCCAATATGTTAATTTCTAAAAAAATCCGTCTTGACTTGGTCACTTCAAAACCGGCTGTTTGACTTCAAACAGATTACAAGATGACATTGCTTAAAGTTACTTAAAGATGGAAAATTACAGCCATGTAGTGAGGTGCAGCTTAAGAGTTTGGGAGCTTGGATGGAAGCTGAGGGAAACAAGGTTGCGGTGGCTGGGACAACTTGGGAGGAGAGAGAAGACGTATATGGGAAAGAGGTTACGTAAGGTAAAGATTGGTAAGAGGAAGAGGGGAAGAGTAAAAGGAATATTAGCAAGATTTCATCAATGACGAACTTGTGGGTGATAGGGAAACAGGAAGAGGATGCTCAGAATAGAATGGAGTGGGGGGAGGATTATCCACACAGGTGACTCCATTGCGTGGGAAACTAGCCGTAGAAGAAGAAGAAGAAGAAGAGGAAGAAGAAGAGGAACAAGAAAAGGAAGAAGAAGATCTTACGTTTCTCTTGTTCATTGCTCTCTTCTTTTGGTTTCGATCTAGACAGATGATTAGATTTGTAAATAAAGTATTTCAATCAAATATCCTCTATAAGAAATAGCAGTTATAGTTTGATCAATCTTAAAATGTGTTTTTCCTATTAAGTGTTTTTGACTGTTAGTAACCAAACTCGGAGGAATATTTAGTAGCAATTTGGCAGGCAACATTTGAAAAACGGATAAGTAAACAATCTACATTTTTCTTTAATGAAATGAAATAATTGATATCTTTGTGATATGTTGTCAAAAATATTATCAGTATAACATGCATGAAGGAAAAATAATTAGATAGTAGACCTTGGTTTATGCCTTCTTCGCCAGAACCAAGTTGAAATTCCAATTATTAGGACAAAGATAATGAAGCCAACCACAGAACCAGCTATGGCTAAAACTGGCAATTTTTCTTGTCGTTGTGCAATAAATGACTCCGTGGAGTTTGTGTGCTGAAAAAAATGCATTTCAAAAAATGAAATGTATTGACGCATAAATTTGATAAATGCTTAACTGGATACATTATTTAAGAATTGTTCCGAAAATGATAGGTAATAGAAGCCAATCCTTAATGATTTTCTAGTATCACACCCAATATTCACTGCACCAAGATGTCAGAAACAATCTCCACTGCATCCAGATGTCAATATAAAAACGAATTAAAGAGGGTAAGCTACCAATCGAATTCTCTACGTTGAGGTCGGCTTACTCTTATTCATTTCAAATATGCCATCTAAACCATCTAAGGTAAAATGTTGAAAAATCGCATTTATCAGGTGATTTTTAGCTTCTCTGGAAACGTCGTTTGTTATCTCCACACAAAACTTCATTAGGTAAGCATGTTAATAAACTTCAATTCTTGATAAAATTGTCGGAACCCCTACACAATTTTTTATAGTTTTTTAAATATTCCCCCCTCCCTCCAACACTATGTTGCTCCCTCCCTTCAACACTATGTGTCTTACTCTCAATATTGCATCATTGTCGGTGGCAATCTAACTAGAACTGGAAGCATAAACACGAAATAATCAACATCGTACGGGGGGAGGGAGAAGAAAATTTGGAAAGATAGCTAAATCCTGGGGTTGTCAACTTTTGAACGTGAAGGTTGTATGAGCTGCAAGTATTATGCAAACTTATTGTTGTTCTGCCAGTATTATTATTTGAACAACGACAACATCGCTAATTTGTTTATATGTTTGTTTATATGAATAGTAGAGAATAGAATAGTAGAACCTGAATACAGGCTAGGGTAAAGAGGTCAAATGAGATCAAATTATTTTCGTTTTAGTGCTGGAGGGAGGAGGGAGATTCAGACTTTACTTCATATAAAAGAACATGGCCAATATTATAATACTGTTTTGGGAGCCCCTTGTCCACTTCATAGCAATGCACTCTTGGTTCACTCACCTTTGGAATGGTTTGGATAGTAGACAGTGTTGTTGTTCTTTGAAACGATGCTCCGTTGGTTTTTACAGACCCGGTTGATAACAATGTCGAGCTGTTGAATTTGCTTATTGGTGTATTCGTGGATTCAAAGGCAGCTGCGTATCAATGGAAAAACATTGGCATTAACAAAACTGTCCAAAACAGTGTCTCGATGGTATGTCTATGTTAGAATGAGGGGGGCAATGGTGTTCACAGGGGGATAAAAACCCCCTTTAAAGCTAAACTGTTATTTTGTCAGATTGTATCTTCGAGCAGAATTATAACACTTTGAGTAAATGACTTGAAGGGTTTGTGCAAGGATAAAAGCTTACATTTGCAACGAGCAAAATTGTAGAATGTAGATAAAAGGTAAACAATAACATAATCTGTTATTTCAACAAATGATATAATGCCTCAACGGCTCGTTTTTTAACGCTTTTTATTGTGGAGTTCCAAAGTGCACAAACTATTGTTTAGCTGTTTTATTTGTATTTATATTTCCGCTTTAGTCTGATATTCTTGTAATTAACTGTTTATCTTATTACATAGCAACAAATGTATTCATTAATCATTATTATTCATAATTATTCATCATTACCATTATTCATTATACAGAAACCTCTATTTTGCGAGCATAGTATCAATAATAACTATACAAATTGGAAAATTACAAACTGCTTTGCGTGCAGCTTACTTAATACCCACACGGACAGCACTAAGAATCTGATTGGATAAAATATATAATTTGTATAATTCTTGTATCTGATTGGTAGACTAATTCAATACAAGCTGCAACAATGAATAATTTCATATTTTTGGTTTAGAAGTGAGTTGTTGAGTACAGGTGTAGTGCTCTTGTTAATGCCGAAAAGTAGCTAATTTCTACTTTTGCTATTGTTTTTCGCAGCGTTTTGCGCAAAGCCCCTTGTTATTTTCATAGCACTACACTCCTGTTGTTGAGTTGTAGCTTCGCTTAGAGGTTACATTTTTATATGAAGGTTTGGAAACCTTAATAAACTCTGTCAACAAAGCAGCAAGAACATGAGAAGTTCTAATACTTTTTAGTTCTAAAACTAAAAACGAAATCCGACCATTAATACAGATCCTTACCGTCAAGCTTCAGAGCTTTTACCAGACTGCTAAGTAAATTACGCGAACAAAATACCCTACCTACCCTGGGGTGTAGTGATATCAAATTAACAGGGGGCTCTTGTTGGGAAAACAATAGAAAAGCAGCCTCTTGAGCCTTTCTAGCCCAACACCCCCTGATTCCCCTCCTCTATAATACCACACCACTTCAAGAATATGTGCATAATTTTGACATAATTCAAGAGAACAAAATGGCCGTCCTTTGTTTGGGTGCAGTGAAATGGTGCTCAAATGTCCCGAAGCAGCGCACCATATTACCATGCACAATCCCTGCCAGAATTCCTTGGAGCACCCATTTTCCAGGCACCAAGCAGCCATTTGGCATTTGGGTGCGGTGAAATGGTGCTCAAATATCGCGAAGAAGCGCACCATATTACCATGCGCAATCCCTGCCAGTATTCCTTGGAGCACCCATTTTCCAGGCACCAAGCAGTCATTTGGCATTTGGGTGCGGTGAAATGGTGCTCAAATGTCGCGAGGCAGTGCACCATATTACCATGCGCAATCCCTGCCAGAAGTCCTTGTAGCACCCATTTTCCAGGCACCAAGCAGCCATTTGGCATTTGGGTGCGGTGAAATGGTGCTCAAATGTCGCGAAGCAGTGCACCATATTACCATGCGCAATCCCTGCCAGAAGTCCTTGGAGCACCCATTTTCCAGGCACCAAGCAGCCATTTGGCATTTGGGTGCAGTGAAATGGTGCTCAAATGTCGCGAAGCAGTGCACCATATTACCATGCGCAATCCCTGCCAGAAGTCCTTGGAGCACCCATTTTCCAGGCACCAAGCAGCCATTTGGCATTTGGGTGCAGTGAAATGGTGCTCAAATGTCGCGAAGCAGCGCACCATATTACCATGCGCAACCCCTGCCAGAAGTCCTTGGAGCACCCATTTTCCAGGCACCAAGCAGCCATTTGGCTAGCAGGGGCTATAGCCACACCCCCACTTTTTTGCAATGAAGATTAAAAAAATTTTCTAGCGCAACTTTTAAAAGTTTTCGCTAACAGATCCCTAGAATTAGCAGTTCGTCTTGGCTGGGAACCTTTTATTGTTCACTATTTTGGTGTGTCTTATCTTGTTAAACATATTTTTATAGTCATTGATATTTATAAAAAATAAGTGGAAAGACGCAATTTTTTTCTAAAAGAGGCGTTTTCAGGCATTCTAAAATTCTCGGTCACACCCTTTTCAGCCCACCCACGTTTGAATGGTGCGCGGTGCCTGCCAGTTCCTTAAGCTTTCTCCAAAAAATGTACTGTTTCCGATAAAAATAGACAGAAACTGAACCCCTTTGCCCCAAAACAATGTTGGTTATAGAGTTAAATATCAATATCACCTGAAATGAATGCATTGGCTCACATTGATTAACATTGTTCGAAGAGGGAGATGGAGATGCAGTTTGAAATATTCAAAAATATGGTTTATTGTACCATGACAGGTATTGTATTCTACTTACTGGGGCACTGACATCCCCCTTTGCAACTGTTTTCTCTTTTTTCATCTTACACTTTTACATCTTACACAGTTACACTTAGCAATATGCAAAATTCATGTATGATCTAAATACAGAATCTTAAATGGAATTTTTTTGTAATCTGTTTGAAAAAACTACCTCAAAGCACAGCTACAATACAAGAAAAGATGAAAAAAAAATTTGCAATTTCCCAAGCCAAAACTAGATACACTAGAAACTAGAAACTAATAGAAACTAGCCTCAAAAAGCGATCAATTATGTTTGATGGAATTGAAATATAGAACAAGATTCCATTGGAACTCTGTATGATGTCAAGCAAGATACCATTCACAGCTTCGCAACTGGTTTCTACAAAAATATAATGAAATATGAACATAAAAATCAAAATTTGATTTCTCCATTACTAATCTAAAGATAATTGTACGTGTCTTCCCTCCCCATTTTACTTTCTTTCCTCTTTATTTTACACCCTATTTCTCAATTTGTTGTGTCGTTATCTTTATCTTCATTATTATACAATTATAATTACCAATGGAGTCCAAGAGAGAAAACGAACTCCGTTTGTGTACTCCATTGGGTTTCGTTTCTCTCTTGGACTCCATTGGTAATTATTATTTTTCTTTAGGCTCGCGGCACTGATTGGTCAACTATACCGGTCTTGTGCTTGCGTTTTTCGGATTGGCCTATTATACAATTGTTTTGTTACTGCTCTAAATGTAAAATTCGAATTCATATTATCTTGTAATGTTTAATGCCTAGAATGTTAATATAAATCGTTTTCACTGTTACTATAATCATATTACTGCATTCACCGAAATTTAGGGGGTTGGGCTCGAAAACCGTTTCGGTTCCTCCCAACATCCTAGGTAACTTTATCAATAAAATTTTAATGATTGTTAAATTATTAATTATATTTATCAACACTTTATTGACTTTTAATATTGTAAAATGATTGCTGAATATTAGATGAGTTTGAATTTGAATTATCCTTGAATGTTTTTGAGATTGACAGAAACCCGCCTCGTAATCATTTCCGATTCCCTGGAAGACGAGGTTTTTTTGCCTTTTGTTTTGTTACGTGGTAACAGGAATTCATATTTTCTTCCGCTAAGTTATGGCAAAGCTATTTTCAGCATTTCATGACATTTAAAAAAAGATTTGAAAAGAACTTCATGCACAAAACTTTACTTGTTGAAGGTGCTTGTGATGAGACAGGATTGGATGTACAAACTTTGTTGATAAGATCAGCGTAGGGGAATCCACTCTTCGAACATACACAAGTGCAGCACAGCATGCTCTTGCATCTTGCATTGGCTCGGTCAATGCAGTAGACATTGGAGCAGGTCAATGAAGGGTTTTTGAATTCCTCGTAACTTCCCATAGTCAGGATTCTAGTTGAACTTTCGAAACGAAGCCGCGGTTGAGCATTCTAAGGCAAGTTTGGTCTGTAAGAATTCCACGTCCAAAATTCACCATTCTGTTGCTCGCATGTCGGCCATAAGTTCGTATTCAGAGAAAAATGTCGCACTCTGTCCCTTTTGATATTAGAGTTCAATATTTTGGAAAAGATCAACGATTGACTACCTATTTGATTTTCGTAGGACGTCTTGTGCTCAACCCGTGAACCTCAGCGGAACACAGCTCAACGCGATATGGTTTATTCCCTTTGTTAATGAAAGTCTATTCAACAAAAGAATATATTAGAAAACAAAAGAAGCATTATTTCCCAAACAAAACAATAGAACAAGGAACAGACAAATGGGATTTCCCTCAAAGTCTTATTCCCACATAAGAGAATACCAGCTGTAGCCACTCTCCGAAGTAGACTTGTTTACTGGAATGAAGATAAATTGATACAGACAACTAATATTTTGAAGATTGCTAAAAAATGAAAAAGTAATGGCGAGCCCTTTTCAAATTTTACAGACGCTTTGATGATGGATGATCCTAGGAGTGGAAAGGTCTGAAGTGAACAGGATGAGGCAAGCTTTGTTGGCGCAACGGTGGAGAAAGGGTGTGAAGCTGCGAAGCACACACACAGAGATCAGTGGAACGCAGAATAGAAATCTTGCTTGTCCAGAAGGCAGGAAAAGAAAATAGAGAAGAGAAGAAAGAGAGAGAGAAAACAAAGAAAAAAGAAAGGGGTTGAACAAAGAAAAGGATTAGTTATTTGAAGGACTTGGAGAAAAAGGAAAGGACGGAGTCAGATAAAGAGACAAAAATTTTCTAAATCGATTAACCGTAAAAACTCCCTGCGCCGTTAGCATTACAACCAAAACTCTGTATTCTTTTTTGGCTGAACTTTGAAAAATTGGAATTACAAAGTTGGCAATATTATAATCTTAAATCACAAATTTTAAACCCGCAATATTTAGAGAAAACTGCCAATCGCCAAAACTTGTCCTTCAGAATTCAGAGTAAGGGTTTCATCGGGTTGTAAAAAGATTGTAAAAAGTCTGTGACAAGTTTTGATTTGCTACAAAAAGTTGTAGAACCAAAGTAAACTTTAATGTAGGAGAAAAATACATTAATGGTAAAATGGAAACTAATGATAACTAAACTAGAAAATGTTTTGGCTTTCTGAATGTCTTCCGAACATCCGAATAGTAATGGCATGGGCTCCGACGCCGGTTGGAAAGTGGGGAAGGGGGCAAGGGAGATTTTAGGAATCATAGCAAAATATTCTTAAAGAAGCTCTAATGTTATTCAAAAAGGTAGGGGCATGGCCCTCCTGGCCCCTTTCGTCGGAGGCCCTGAAAGGCTTAGAAAAACTGTAAAGCTCTTAATAAACTGGCAATAGTATGCTGAAGTAGGTTTATTCAAGTTCGCAAATCATAGATAGCGAGCAAGAAAAAATATATATCTATATCTAGGAGGCGGGGGCTTTGTCCCAAGTAAAAAACCCTAAGATAATCGAATATCCGTTATTGTACCTAAGATAATCGAATATCCGTTATGGTACCCAGGAAACCGTATTGGTATCTGATGCAAGATAACACTTCACGGTGGGGTTAATCAGACTACTGTGCCCTGAATAAATTTTGAGGCACATGATTTCCGAAAGCTTCCCTCGTTATATATTCATACCTTACCATTACATCTCTGCCTGGACCCACTTGTGTATCTCCAGTTTTTACTGTCCACATAGAGTCTAAAGTTTCTGAAAATGTGAAACGTTTCATGTTTTTTGGAGAAGGGTGGGGGTAATTGTTGCTTCTTCTCGCCAATATTATCCTCTTTAAAATTCCTACCACAAACGCCCTTGAGAACTTTTTCTTTCAAATGAATATATCGATCAGTGGGCCAAAAACATTAACCATTTAGAAATTTAAAAAATCTTATAATATACCAGTCAGTTGTGAGCACCTCCTACTTCTATGGGTGTGAGACCCTGATTTAAAATCCTTTTTGGACCCGCGTTGTTCCCGGTATCTCAGTGGCTTTTCAGTTGGGGGGGGGGCGAGTCGGGGGCAATGACCATCAGAACAAACGAATTTGCCGACAAATGACATAATCTACCGACCAAAGCGTTTCTTAACTGACAATTTAGCAAGATCTGGGAGGGGCACATGCCCCCCATTGCCCCGCAATTTCCGCCACTGCCGTAATGTATGAGCTGATTGATCTAGATCAGGGGTCGGCAACCCGCGGCCCGCGGGCCACATGCGGCCCGCAAGGTACTTTTGTGTGGCCCGGAAGGCCCCTGTTAACCTGTAAATAATTTGGCCCAATGCACGAGTGTCGGCCCGGATTCAGTGACCCGGATTCAGTGATCCTAGAGTCTTGTCTAGATTAGCATTCCTCGTTGTCATTACTAGTCACTCGAACAAGCTGAACAAGAAGCTTCAAGGACATGTTCAATTTGTTAATGTCATGTATGAGCATGTTGTCATGTTCCTGGTCATGCTACATTTTTGGAAAACACAGCTAAATCAAGGGAACCTAGTTCATTTTCCATCTTCAAATGAAGTTGATCGAGCTGCAGGGTACCAGTGAATTGAAACAGAAATACAAGGAAACTCATATCATCCAGTTTTATATGGAGTATCTCCATGGTGGATGATGTGCTGCATGTTTGGCAGTACTTGCCTTTGCGAAAGTCTCTTCTCAAACATGAAGTATGCGAAGAGTCGACTGCGATCTCGAATGATTGATCAGCACCTTGAAGGCAACTTGCGGCTGCCAACATAAAAAATTCTGCCAAATATTGAGAAGTTCGACAAGGACATGCAGCACCAACTTGCACATTAGCTTCTTGTAATATACTGACCAGTGAACATGTACTTCACATCTATGTTTTTATTTACGTACAGCTTTCACGTTACAGATAATTTTCCGATAAATACAATTTTATTGATTAGATTAGCAGTTCGGTAGAATTGGTATATGTTAAAATTATACTGTATTTTGAGTTGCGGCCCTGGTATGCATTTCAGAAATCAAATTTGGCCCCCTGTTTTATAAAGGTTGCCGACCCCTGATCTAGATCTATCTAGATCAGTGTGCGGGCCTGACAATGCGATGGAGCTTTCGGCAACCTCTTTTTCGCGAATTCAAGAACTAAACTGTCATGGCGGCCAGAACTCTTTTGTAGAGTCCAGATAAATATTGTGCTAGCTGAGATGCTTTATTTAGAAGATTACCTTGAATGTAAGTATTCGCTTTTGTATTGTCTTTTTGTTGTCTTTACCAATAGTTGATGATTTTGCAACGCATTCTTTATCGTAATATCAGTTCTTTAATGTTGAACATTGTTAGCCTTGATAGTAGACAGTCAGCCTCTTTTTCATCAAAGTTGAAAACTATGAAGAAAACAGCACCAAGTTACAACTCTGGTGTTCTTCCTAAAGAATTAGCATTCTCTTAACACAAAGTGCAAGCTTTTAGATTATTTTTAGTACTCATAAAGGTTAAATAGCATCACTAACATTACCTGGCACAGTAAATGACTGGGTTCCAACTATTGCTAGAACAAACGAAAAATGTCTGCCAAAGATGTGGGTACAATGCCAGTGGAGGCAAACTCACAGAACCAATCAATGAAAACCAGGCCATACTATAAAGGGAATTGCAAACTTGGATCAAAATGATCTGGTTGTAAACTTAGAATAAGTACCCCCTGAACCAGACTGGACGCTTTGTCGCGCGCCTGCAATATATTGCCCGCACACTCAAATTTTCCATCCAACCAAATTATGGCCAAATTGTCTTTTAATGACAGGTCATAAATTTTCATACTTTTTAAAACATTGTCTTGTTTGATGTCATTTGAAACTACTGAAATAACGGCAGGGGTTAAATGGCCACGAAGCACTATATCACTAGAAAAAGGCATCTAATACAGGGATAATTTTTTTTATTGTTTTATCTTCAATAGACAAACAGTTTTGAACCTTATTGAGTCTCAGATGACAGAATTCTGCAGTACTTGATGAATGAGGTCTCATACCCTACTACTATACATAAAGGGCTTATAAAATGCCAGTTATTAAACCAGAATTAAGATAAAAGAGTCTGATGACTAGATATTAACTGTGTTGTATTCTGCTGCTTTTCCCTCTCTTAGTTTTCTTCTGCCAGAACCCTCCCATAGGAGAAATTACCCCTGCCTCAAAAATTAGCAAAAGGCTCTGTCTGTCACAGATTTGTTGAATCAAAGGTTGTGAATCAAGTATAGTTTCTCAATAGCCAATAATTTTTTAATTAATTCTAAGATGGTGGGGTTCAAAAGTTTTCTACTAGAATTATCAGCTTTGATTTTACTTTCTATATCAAGGTAGTATGTGATTATTGCCTGTCCTACTATAAAACGAATTTATAGAATTTTTATTGTATTTTCAAAGACTTTTTAAACAGAATCTAACACAAAACTAAAGAAGATTAATTTCAAGTATTTCCTCAGCTTTGTGTAAGCCATCTGATGACATAAAACCTTGCATTGTTTTAAGAAAGAGTAGACAATTAATTTGATATTTAGCAAAAGGCACATATTTATTTCAGCACACTCACTTTGCAGCAGTATGCTATCAGTTTTGTCTTCTAGCTAGGTCAATTTATTTTGGCCAGGTTGAAAACCTAGAACACACGGAAAAGTGAAAATTGAAAATGCTGGAAATGCGGAAACCTTCCATAGTCAATCATATTTGCTAATTTGATGGCAAGAGAGATGTATAATGATTTATTAAGGCTTCAATAAAAATTAACACAGATTTTGTGGCTCAAAGAGCAACCAACGCCATTCAGAGCTGTGTTTTGAATACCACGCATTGGCACAAATCTTCCACCATTTTCACTGGTTATACCAGGAAGTCAGGCCTTTCCCGGAGACATGGGCTATAGCCCGCTCCAGCGCAAACCCCACACAAAAAAAATTTGCGAGGGCTCTTTTCTGCCTGCGCAGTTGTTTATAACAACATTCTCATTCAATCCACTTCATCGCACTCCCCAGTAATTTAACTACTTACTGCTATATACCAGGGTATCTATGTATAACGCTGAGTCAAAAAGATAGACGGTTTTGATAAATATCATTATAACAAGGAAATTTCAGTTTCCCTTGACAACGAATGTTAGCAAACTATAGTATTACCTGCTAAAACTTGCAATGGGATAGGAAATGCTTGTGCACGCAAGGAACAACAGATAGGGTAAAATATCAAGAATGAGAATTGTTACATAAGAAAATCTTACTGGGCAATCGAAAAAACTCGAAAAAAACTGCATTTCTCGAAGCAAAATTTGTTTTTCCTCTTGGACTCTCCAACTAGGTAAGAGATAAGTGATTGAGATTGGTTAATAACAGAGAACCAATCATTCACACTTTCCAATCTCCCGCATTAATTACTATCCACTTCTGTAAATTTCTGCTCACTTTTTGACATTAACCAACATATATACTTTGAGGGTGAGGGACAAAAAAAGTCTCAGTAAGAAATGTTTCCACTCTTCTGTGCTATTTTCAGGTTAAGATACACTTAAGAAAGAATGGGTATTGGATTTTTCTGTGCCGTTAAGAAACTGGAGTACTAACGTCAACCTTCATTTCTTATAGAAATTAAGTGTTTGTTAGTTATATTTTCTTGAATTTTTAAGGCAAATCAACTTTATCTTACTCTTTAAATAATACTTTATTGCTCTTTATTTTTAATTGCTCTATATTTTTTGAATAAAGATGAGTTTTGTTGGATCCTACTCAATAACTCTGTCTTTCTAAACAAAACTTTTCCATCTTGCAAAAAAACAAGATATCCCTTTTGTCATTGTAAGGAGTAGTTTGCGCACAAAACAACTGTCTTCTTAAGGTAAATCATGCTTACAAGTAGGCAAGGTAATATAATTTTTTCTTTGTCTATACCCAAATAGAAGTAGATAAACAACAAATTCTGCAAGGGCTGAATAGCCCACGCAAAATGTCCACCAGGGGTCTTTTTTAGCCTGCGTGCTGTTTTTTCCCAGAGAGGCCTGCAGGAAAGTAATGATGAAATGTCTCTGATTTGATTTGTATCCTTTTCAAACGAGGATGAAAATTGAAAACGCTTGCTTTATGGAGCACCTTCATTTGGCTCAATGAAAGGCCTGAATTAGGGCTTTATTGTGATAACCTTAGAACATGTAAGGGATTAAGATGAATATCATTGCCAGAGAAATAATTCTAATCCAGTCATATGTTAAGCGATTATTGTGTCAGTAGTAATTTGAACCATCAGCTGGGTGGGCATTCAATGTACTTTTATAAGTTCATTTCTCAAAACTTTATCTTAAAGTGCTCTTCTCAGTACTTTCGTAAGTCTTATAAGTCTTTAGTCATATGAATGATTCTGGGAAGGCCTTAACAAGGGCATCAGTGATTGTCCATATGAAACGAGTGCGTCCTTCCATACACCAAAGCAGTTATGTCTCACATCAAGAAATATACAAAACAGATATCAGGCCTTTCAATAGGACATGCCAGATAGGGCTCAAGTCACCAAAGCTGTCAATTGTGCACACAGAATAAAAGTATTGCCTTAAAGGACAAGTGACACACTTTTCACCCTATCTTTTCTTTTCATTAACTTATAGATCATCTTTTAGAAGTAAGTTTTTCCTGGTTTACAACAAAAAATTCTAATCAGGGGGCGCAGGGGACACTATTTTGCTTTTTATCACGTGACCCTATGACGTACATTGTGATAACTCGGAATTTTCCTGTAATTAATAGAAAGTTTACGAAACACGACGCAACAGGTCCAGACGAACTGAATTCGTTTAGAAGCGTGTTGTAAACGTTAATATTGCACTGTATACCAGTAGCAGCAATAACAAATTATCACAATCTACGTCACGGTGTCACGTGATTCATTTCCTGCCATAACTTGAAAAGGGTTTTTAAGTAGGAAAATGAAATCAGAAAGGAAAAATATTTCAACAACGCTCTCATACAGCATTTTACTTTAAGTTAAAAGAAGAAAAAAATTTGGCGCCAAAAGCGTGTCACTTGTCCTTTAAGGTTATCTTTAAAACACAAAACAATTGCTTCAACAGGCCATGGTAATTTTAAATATTTCAGTAAACAATCTTGTCAAGACCCCAAAATTTTCCCAAATTTCCATTGAAGTTTTATCTTCTCAAACAATTTATTTCTTCACTTATTCAAAAAGGGTATTTTCCAAATTTGCTGTACAAAATGATGTATTCAATTATTAATACTTCTTGAGCACATATATTCTTTGAACAAGGAATTTTAAGGTGTTTTATCAGGACAAAAGCTTTTTTATTTATAAACAAATGTTATAACAGAGTTGCATACTAACATTGTGAATGGCTGCTTTGATAAGCAATAACTTGTGAAGTTTACACAATGTTTAAGTCAACTGCTCAAAGAGTTTTCAATTACATCAATTACAGAAAAACATTGAGAGACAAAATTTTGAATAATAGCATTAAGCAAATGGTGATGTGATAGTGGAAGAAGCTATGTGAACAGAAGTGAAAGTACCTTCAAAAAATACAATTGATGATTAATTAATTCTATGAACTACTGTTTACCAAGGTCTGGCATGGAATATAGGCCTCCCCTGTCATGAAATTTTTTTATTTATTTCCTTAGTAATAGAGTACTGAACAGGAATCAACTAAATGCAGCCAATGAACAGAATTTCTTTCTGACAACAATGCCTACCAATCCAATTTTGTTGCTCATGTTATCTCACATGATTTCCTCTCAGCAAAAGTTATCAAATTGTTTGAAAATATCTTATTGTTTAATCTTCTATCTCTGCCTAAATTACTCCTGATTTTTTTAATCACACATGCCAAATCTGCAAAATCTTTGTATCTGTCTTTTTCTAAGGTTTTTTTGGACATGTCAGAATTAGAATCAAAGTTGAGCATGTGATTGAAAGTTATCTTCTTTGCTTCTTGTGCTAGTTTTTGTTTAAAAAAATACTATTTTTTGTATCAATCAAAGAAGATAATCCTTGTTCCAATCATAGTTTCTCCTGATAAGTCCTATAATACTTCCGCCCTGATCATCTACATGATGTCCTAGCCCAGTCCTAGTTATAAAGCAATCACCTACTGTTTTTTCTCATTCTGAGATTTACTTCTGAAAGTCTAATGTGAGCATTTAGGGAAATTTTGAAGATCCTTAAACAAGCTTTTGGCAGCAATAATGTAATTTATAGTTTTTTTTGCTGAATAATTGACAGCATGCTTTATCAACAATATGTTTAATTTTGTATATTATCTGTATTTAGCCATAAGATAAAATATTTTCTAGACCACAATTTACGTCTAAAAACTTTTGTGATTATGGTATACACTGAATTTCTTTGATTATTGAAAAGCATTAGAGCAATGGCCATTAAAAGTTCAACAGCATAATTAGGTTAAGACTAGAAGATAACCTTTTGTTTTTACAGTGTTTTTTAGATCAAACTCAATTTCTTCAGGGAATGCTGTCATTGGTCCTTGGTTTTAAATCTTCTTTGTTTACAGAAATGTTGATTTTTGCTGAATGACTGAATATTTTTCTGTGTCTGTACATGGGTTGTAACGGAGTGTTTTCTTAAGTGATAGAGCAACTGCCTCAAGATTTAAGGGACCGATTTACTGAAATGCGAGAACTGGACTTAAAAGTTCAAAGTAAGTACTTGATTTTGTCTTGCTTTCTTTGTAACTGTCAGTGAATGCCTGTTTTATGTGGATTTGAAATGAACTACTATATCAGTAGTGTAGATATTATTATTATATATTTGATTTCCTTGTTTTGTAGCCTTATTTGTTTCAATCCACACATTGCTGTTTAACAATGCCAGAATTTCCAATTTTAAGCTATTCTATAGTAATTTTTTATTTGAAATTACCTCTTTATTCTCAACATACACATATATGCAGCCATAATATAACAAACTCATTTTTTGTGAACATTTTGCAGATACAATTGATACAATGGATGGCAAGGTTCAAACATTCTTCACTGAAGCCAAGGATGCCAAACCGGAAGCACGTAAACAAGAGTTTTTAAAAATTAAAGAGGTGAATGATACCAAATTTACTGATATGATTGTTGGAACCTAGCCTCATGACTGACCTTCTGATTTCTATAACATTTTTTTCTGAAGGAGGTTCTTGCCCTTCATTTTGTATTTGTATTTCATTCCCAAGTAAGAAAATAAATTCTAATGGTGTTTTTTTCAACAAATTTACTGATTTGTGTTTACTGTTGGCTTTTTATCTCCAAATTTCATATTTTTAGCCTTAAGCGCCTTTATTGATAACAATTTTGTAGTTTTGAAAGTTTCTTTTTCTTTCAAATTCACCACTCTAACAACTCAAGTGAATAATGATGAAGCAACCTCATGTGAAACTTTATTGATTCTCTTTAGTAATGCTTTTGGGCACTTTTTCTTTCCCAGGAAATGGTCAGTAATGTTTCCTGAGAGAAAGGTTTTATGTAGAAAGCAATTATTTCTCATGAAAACTTATTTCAATTGTTTCAATAGTTGACTTTGTTTTTCTTGTAGAGTTATGACAAGGCAGTTGAAGATGCAGATGAAAAAGTTACTATGGCGTCCCAAATATTTGACTTAGTAAGTTTATTCTCAATGTATTTAATTACATTTTGTCTTGTTATGTATTGATTAATATAATTAAGTAATTAGGAAAATTGTTAAGAGGATGAGACGTGGCATTACAGCAAAACATGGTTTTGATATTGCAGTCGTTTTTGGTCAGTGGCAAGCATGAAGGTTCTATTTGTCGCAAATTACAATGTTTTGAATTTTTTAAAATGTTATTTATCCATATAAAGGGTGAATATTTTCAGTTTTTTTCTACATTAACGTTTAACCTAAGCTAACCTTCTTTCCATAAAGGTATCTCAGTTTGTTATTACTCCCAGTCTGTGTTAATGCTGTTTCATCTATTTGATATTTTGGGTGCTATTTGATGTTATGAGTTTATTCAAAGACAATATGCAGAAAATTCTAATACCTTACTTTAGGTCGACAGGCATCTAAGAAAACTTGATCAAGAGCTTGTAAAATTCAAAATGGAATTAGAAGCCGACTGTGCTGGGATAACAGAAATCTTAGAAAAACGTAAATATAGATTCTGCTTGTTTTACCTCTATTCCTAAATGTATTTGGATTTTCTTAGAATACTTCCAGGTTCTTATTCATATTTGAGCTATTCACGGCTTTTTTTTCTAAAAATGTTCGCTTATGGGTCCTTGAATCTTATTATACGTCGTAAAAAATGAAAGCTGCCAACTTTGGTTCACCAGATTTGCATCGATGATGCTTTCTATCATAGATATCCGCCTTATCGTTTTCTTGCTTTATGCTAATGTCTCACACTGTTACACGTGTTTTTTACTATTGTTTGAAGATTTTCTTAATTTGTTATCTGTTTTTAATAAGTTTTTACCACTTTGAGTGAGATATACTTTCTTCCGGTAATAGTCGCTTTGATATTTGTTATACCTCTTGTTAGACGACTGACTTGCAAATTATTTGCTTTCTAAGGCTCAATGATGTACGATGAGACGCCGACAGACAGCTTCGATTATGCTTCCCCGTACCAACACAGCGATGGTCACGAGAGTAAGTTGAGTTTGAGGCTTGTTTGAGGATCTTTTAAGACTCGCTGCTGTATTAACAGCTTTAGGTAGTCACGAAAAGCTCTATTTCACATGATTTACTTATTTGTTTTACTAAACATTTTCTACTTGTCTAGTGAGCTTACAAATTTATTAAGCTCTTCTTCTGTATTGTATTATATGCATTAATTTCCTGATTTAATGTCAAATAAATTTCTCTCTTGTCCGTCTGGAGGTCCGCTGCTGGCAATTTTCTTCATGTTCCCTTACCTTAAGCAGTTGCATACAATCCTGGTGTCGATGCTTACTTGTGCATTCCAGGCAAATTCATGCCCATCAATTTGCTTTGCTATCAATCTACGTTTGTTTTACAGGATTTTTAACATAACAATTTCACAACTTATCTTTTTATATTGTTAAAATTCCCTTGAAACAGAAAAGAAGCATGACACTGACCGGTACTCGACCTTGAATGGCTTCGCACCGACATCTCGAGAACTTCCTGCTGCCAGTCCCATGCAGCCTGTTTATAATTCGTTGCCATCTTCACCACAGACAATTGTCCATGACTATCCCACTTCATCAGGCTCTTTATCCTATACTCTCGGTGAGTTCAGCTCAGTTTAGCTTATGTTTTAAAATTTTTAAAGGTATCATAAAAGGATTTTAAAGATTTATAGGAGGTTGCCTGCCAGGTATGATCAAGTGACTGTATTATTGCAATCACCACATTTCACGCGACCGTATGTTAAAGATGAACGTTTAATTTCAAGAGAGACATAGAAAGTCATAGAAAGTCAGTTTGCGTGATTTGGGACTTCCAAACTAATGTCCCATATCTGGCTCGGCACATGCACCGCGTGCTAGCTCTTTTAATGGAAGCAAACAATAGTGTCATTCCTTCTGCTTTGAATAGGATCATAAACTACCATTTCAAATGAAACGTAGTAAATTTATTTGATAACCACTTTGTACGGAGTTCACAGTTCCCTTTGCAATGTTTTAAAGGTGCCCTTCCTTTAGTTGTTTAACAGGTCCGTAATGCCAATAGCAAGAGCAGAACTTTTTTAGAGTTTGAATGTGTTGTGTGTTGAGGCAAGTTGCTTTTTCAGATAATGTCATGATAATTCAGATGAAGCCACAAGAATGTTCAGATCTTCCTTCAACATTTCAGGTCACGTTGGGGCTGGCTCAGCTGCAATTGCTGCGGCTGCTGCGCAGGCTGTTACTTCAACATATCAGCAAAACCAAGGTAGAAGAGGGCAGCAAGCCAGCTTGAAAGCAAGTGTGGCGACAGCAATGAAGGCGGAACAATTGAGTAAGGAAGTCACTTCCGTAGTGTCCATGAATCTGTCTTTCGCACGTAATTCCTCGTTTTCCCAAACAGATTTTTGCAAAAAAATGTACAAGAACATAGGACTAGTATTGTATTAGAGGATAAACCTCGCTGAAAAAAAATCAGTTTATTTTCTTCAAACCCCTAAAAGGCTTACAACAGTATGAGTTACGCTTTCTGAATTCGCCAATTTAATGTTTAAAGACTGCAATAATAGAACAGCTACCATGTGGCTTTAATATATCTCTAGAAATCAAATAACGCAATGCTATTTTCGTATTTCCATACTCATGGTTACTGTGTTTATAATTTTTGTAACTAGTTTTTGCATAAACCTGACAGCCTTTTGCTTTCTTTATACTTTAGTTCTTCAGTTGTCATTTAAAGTCATTCTTATGATTATTTCAAAAGGCAACAGTCTTCAGAGTCTTCTGGGTACGGTGTCCCCAGCGCTGCACAGGAGCCAAAACTATGCTGACGTTTTAAATCCGAACCGATACCAATCATCTTCAGCAATTTCACCAAAAGCTGCTTTGGACCTGAACACTCCGGCCCAGGCCACAAGTGGTAGCCAGAAAAGCAGGAAAAGGTAACAAACCAGACATTTTTCTCACCCAATGCTATAACAAATGCTCTCTGTCATTTCTTTTGCAAGGCAGGAGCTTTGAGGGTGTCGACATAGCGTAACTGATAGTGATCTGGATTTGTAAGTTGTTATTAATAATGTCTGAAACAAATGAACAAATGACAAAATTAGAAAACTTGCCCTGTCATTGTTTTGGGTATATTGATGAATGATTTTCAAACAAAAACATTTCTTCTAGGAACAGCAGGCAAGTGCACACTTCGTCAGTCGCAACACCAGTGGTACCTGTAGTGGAAGAGCTGCCTATGGGCTCATCAGTCGACTGGGTTCCTGAACCAAATGAGCCACGATATTGCCTTTGTAACCAGGTAAATGTATTCAGCATGCTGTGTAATCTTTTTGATTTTAATGACCTTTTTTGAAAATTCCATGTTTGAATATACTTTTTTTGGAACTTGCTCTTTTTTGAAAGTGATCTTCTTCGAAAATGCTGTTCTGTGAAATAGATTTTCTTCTGAAAATGCTGCCATTTGGAAATTTTGTTTTTAAATAAAAAGCTACTTCTATAATCTTCATTGAAAATTCTTTTGTATAACTTATTTGTAAATGCTCTTCATTGAAAGTGATCTTCTTCGAAAATGCTCTTCATTGAAAATGATCGTCTTTGAGAATGACCTTCTTCTGAAAATGCTGCCATTTTGAAATGTTGTTCTTGAATAAAAAGTTACTTCTACAATCATTTAATTTTGGTTTTAGAAGCATTGATATCTGCACTTTTTTCCAATTTCATATCGCTGATAAAATAAACAAAACATCTTTTTAGCATCATGATGGTTTATTGGTCTTAAGCAAAGAAATAATGCTTTAGGTATCTAAATTGTATGTATAGGAGCCGTAGATATAGCTACCCTAAAACGATAAAACGAAAGCTCTTGTATAAACTGAATGTATTTGCTTTTATTTTATGGCTCTTGTGTAAAAAGGTTTTCACGTCAACTTTGTTGTAATCGCCTGTTTGTTGCTTTAGGTTTCTTATGGTGAAATGGTTGGATGTGACAACCCAGAGGTACGTGTATTTAAAATTTAGGAAAACAGAGAGAAATGCCTATCAAGAAAGGACAACACTTTGGCTTCGTGGAATGACTGTTTTCTGCCTGCCCATAAGACATAGTAAACGCGTCGTTTTTAGCCTAAAAGACTCGCAGAAGCATAGACAGACATTGTTTGCAATACGATCGCCTCACTAGTTTCCTCCATTTTTTTACCAAACATATCAAGCCATCGTTTTGTCATAACTACAAAGCATATCGAGAGATCAGAGCCTCGGTACACTTAAACTGGCCTTATTTTCGCTTTTTGAAAACGCCCTGATAGGTCTAGTGGTATCCTCCACCTTTCCTTGCATGTTCGCTAATGTTCCTGAGATACCTATTTAACTTTGTGGTCGTCTCTTTTCAGTGTCCCATCGAATGGTTTCATTACGGCTGTGTTGGTTTGACGGAAGCCCCAGAAGGAAAGTGGTACTGCCCAACGTGCTCCGCCAGAATGAAAAAAAGACGAGCAAGGTAGCATAAGCAGGAACCACAGCCAATGCTCATTGCTTCACGCTACGGTCAAATGCTTTGCTCCTAAGCATTGTAGCTTTAGAGGTGCTGACGCAGGATCTGACTTAGAGGTGATGGCATCCGAAAGATGGCATTTATCTGTAATGGGTTTGTAATGGGTTACCATCCGTAAAATGCACATGTTACTGGATATCATTGATATAGATTGCCACCTTTGCCACATGAACATGAAAGAGTTTGTAGCAAGGGAACGCTATTTTACTTCTGTAAATTTGATGCTTCTGTATTTTCCTAGATAATGCTGAGAAAGAGTTTATGCCGAGAACAAACGCCTTTCTTTCTTTCCATCATTACCAAGAAGCTATTTGTTTTCACGCCAAAAGGTTTTTTTACGTAGATATGTTGCATTTGTGGTCAAGATTGATATCCTGGTAGACCAAGGAGCATTTTGGGCAATGCACGAAGGATACAAGTGTTGATATTAAGATTTTGTCCATGAATACTTAAGTTTAGTAAACTGGGTTTTTCTCCGACACTCCGGCTAGCATTGGGAAGATATTGCATATATTTATTCTTGGCTTAATTACTAAATATTCTAGATGGCTAATCAAACCACCATTCAGTTGATACTCGGTGACAATTCTTCCTCATTTTCCTTACAGTTTCTCATCACTCATCAATCTCATCACGCGTTTTTGTGTTTGTACATTCTTTACTTCATTTGTTGTATTATATCTTTATAAATATTGTTAACTTTATATTATATTGTTGACAGATTTATGGTCAGATTCAGTTTCTTGTCTGGCCAATGATAACACCGTGAAAGTTGGCATAATGCTTTTTTAAAGGATGAAATGTAGAGTAAAATACTGTGTGTTTTATTTAACTGAGTGATTCTTCCAATAATTCTACTTTAGATTTCTTCATTTAATTTGATCGCAGGATATTTAACCCAATAAAATATCTGTTTGTGAGTTCTAAATTTTTTTGGCTACATTTTAAATAGTGTTTAAATCTGCATATTTGTGAGCTGATTGGCAAAGAAATATTTTGTTGTTGATTCGGTGCTGCACAATTTCGATTCAAACGTTTTGAGGTATTTTTTTCATTTCACACAATAAGCAGTTTTTAAGATTATCATCAGATGCTGTTGACCATTTATTTCCCTGTGAGTTTAAAATGTTCTTCCTTCCTTTTTTAATTCACGTCCATCGAGAATAGGGTTTACAACTTTGAGAAGGCTTGTAACTTGTCAAATCATACTAGTTAATAAGAAATTCTTATATTTAGATTAACGATAAAGCCGATGTTAACGGGCAAAACCCAGTAGCCTACAATGTCCAAGGGACATGTAATTTTGTCCAAGATTTCAATCTATCTATGTCTTGTACAGGTAAACCACCAGAATACATCTTGACCAAGGACTGTGTCTCTGTTGTATCAGTCGTCTGCTTTAGAGAAATCTCACGTTGTGCTTGCTACTCAATATGGACTCTGCGTTGAACAAAATATCGCATGATAAATATATTTGGTATTTAAAAATAAACTATAAAATAGAAAATAGTAGCCGGTGAAATATATCTAAAAAAAGTTACTTAGACACTGTTACCAGAAATTGATGCATTTTTCTTGCATCCTTGCAGCAGGACATACCTTGCCAGAAGATGATAACAAACTGTTGAAAATCGGGATAGAATCATGAATGTGACTATGATTTTTAGATATCTCAAGTGTCAATTTTTGGCCAGTGAATTCAATTTTGAATAAAGCGATACCGTCATACTTCTTGATTTTTAAACTCTAATCACCTAGTCTAAAAGTACATTTGGATTGTCGAGTGTTATATTTTCTGAAGCGCCAGAAGCTGACCTTCTAGATGTGCATTTGCCAACGTGAATTTCTTTTGAGAGGCAGTTGAGGTGGAAAAAAGGTGTTTTCTATACAAGAGGCGTTTTCTATCGAAGAAAATCTTATACAAATAAAAAGGCATCTATTTCAAAAAAATACCTCGGGACCGCATCAATGTGCCTTGCCCTTGTCAAATGTCGATGGCTTGTTTCAAACTACGTGTAAAGATATCAAACCTAGTCTTTAATCAATTTGTACAATTGCTGAAAACTGAGTTTGTAAAATTAAACGAAAAATTCCTTTCTGACACAATTCAGTGCAAAACTGATCAACTGACATTTGTTCGTGCTGACTAAAATCAGATGTTCCATCAATTATCACAGCATAATAGCTGCTTTCTTTTAATTCTTCGACAATCCTCAAGCAAAGCAAGCACTATTTGCGCTGTTGGTGCTCTTGCCGCTTTCACCTAACTGGTTTCTTCAACCTTATTCCATTACTCCTGAAAGCGCTCACGATAACGGCCACTTTACTCATCTCAGAGATTTATAAACATATCCGAAATGTAGTTTTTCTGAAACTTTTTGTCTTTAAAGAAGGCTCATGCCCGATTTTTGCCCAAAAAAATCAGCAGCCTGAATCTCCGTTCCGTACGCCTATGATATTACCTACACAACTTAATTGGGTGGGTTTTCTTCAGGAGTCTTCATATCGGGACTAATCGGGACGGGAGTTATGAATAAAGGGGATTCCAATAACTGAATATACATCACTTCTTGGCCAAATAGTACTAAAAAAAGAGCAAGGCAAATTGACATATACCTATGATGAATTTTTTTCTAGAGAAAACCACGATAGGGGAGATCAATAGCTTCAGCTTTATGTCCTTCTTGAATTAACATTTTAAAATTTTTTTCATTGTTTTCGTCAACCATATCATCGTTATCATCAAGTTCTGTCACTTTATTTGCTAGCAGATTGGGCATTTTCATCCTCTTTAACTGCTGCAAAGAATTCAAATATTTCCTTTCTCTTGGCCTTATCCTATATAATCTGGGTTATTTTCAAAATATAATAAAAAAGATCTCGAATAACGTTGACGTTTCCAATGTTATCTCGTGACAAAACTTCGTTTTTAAGTACTCGAAGCCTTGAATTAACTACGTTTTGTTTTTATTGAATTTTATGTAGTGGGAGGGTGTATTTGTAAAAACTCTGCTATTCAAAACCTCTGTTTCCCTATCCCCTAATCTTTTGGCTGTGCGGTGCTGTCGGCAGTTCCTAGAAGCCACACCCAGGACTACACCAATGGTCACACCATTTATACTTGCATTTGTGTTAAAAGTTCTCTATTGGGTGGATGAAATCATTCGAGATATTCACGGAGACAACAAGATTGAAAAGAAATTGCCATCCAATTCCAGAGATAAAATTTTTCAAAACTATTTAATTTTCGTAAGAATTAAGTCCTATTCTCCTAATGTCCTATTCTCCTAATCTCTTTCAAGGTCATTCGCCTTTGGAGCCCTATGGTTCCACGCAAGAATATGGAGTCCTCCGAAGGTGCTCTTATATTGTCGTTGTTTTTATAGACAAAGAAGGTAAAAAACCCATAAAAAATGATGTGAAAATAAAGGTGTAAATCTAAAATGGAAAAATGAGAAAAAAGGAGTAGTCACTACCATCTGGTTACAGCCTCAAACTCAGATGGGGGATGTTTGTGTGTGCTTGTATATTTGAAGCAATTAGCTTGAATAGGGTACAAAATGATAAAACAACAACTCATTAGCCAGGTATGTCTCATTATCATTAGTCGGTATGTCCATTTCTTGTAGGCGCCGCTCGCAATCCTGCGTCCAGGATCACGGTTGCAAACGTAAGGAAATACAGATAAAAAATATATGTTATAGCTATCAACATCAACAAGAAGTAGCAATCGACATAGAGTGCTTATTAAAGTATTGTAGAGTGTATAGAGGCACCTGAATGGAGTAGGTGTGTACAGGCAAGGTTGGGCGTGGCTCTGGGAACAAAGGGCTGGGAGAAGTGGGAAGGGTAAGGTGTATAGCCTGTATACAAAGGCAGAACGTTACATTGGTCGTGGCTGGGCTTTGCTATGAAAAGGAAGGGTCAAATGGGTTGGGAAAAGGAAGAAGTAGGGTACCTGATGTGGAAATGGGTTTGTATGGATTAAGTTGGTGAAAATGGGCAGGCCTGGGCGTGGATATGGAAGGGAAGGGCTCAATAGCTTTGGGGAAGGGTATGTGGGTACCTAATAGTGTGTGGAAAAATTTGAGAGAGTATGTAGGAGTAGAAAGGGCTGGGCGCTGGTATTGAAGGGGGTGAGGAGAAGGGATTGTTAGGGACCGCACGTGTGTATAGGGGTATGTGAATTAAGTGCGTGGGAATGGGCAGGGCTGGACTGGGCTGAATATGGAAGGGAAGGGCTTAATTGGTTGAAGAAGGGGGTGGGCACCTGAGCTGTGTGTGGGAGCATATAGGTACGTGGGTAGGGATGGACTTGGGGCGACTAAAGGAGAGCCCTATCCCAAAATCCCTCTTAATTTTAACAAGGAGCCCTCTGAGCCCCCATCCACAGCAACATTGGTTGTACGTTCTAAATACCCAGGTAGATTCATAAATTCTAAACTCTTTTAGGTGAGGTGGTAGGAACACAATCCTTTTGAATGAATGGATAGGCTCTCCTTGTAGCGTAAACAATACGAGGATTGACAACAAAGAAACATCTTGCGATGGCCTGTCCAATCTGGCTTTCATATCGAAGGAAAATGTTACCTACCCATGGGTCTTTTGTGCACCAAACGTTATTTCAGTCGAAAGGCTTGCTAATTTTCCCTCAATGCATCCACCATCAATAAAATCTTCTGGACAGCCATTACGCAGATATCTGGATATCTTCTTTAGCTGATCAAGTTCCGAGTTGAGTTTTGACTTTGAACAATTTCGATTTTCGGAGATATTTTGAACGTTAGAGGGTAATTTGTTGAATCGGAATCTAGCCTCGCTTGTAAGTAGCTGACACTCTTTGACACTTCCTTTCTTTTTGTTGGAACGGTGAAACCTTCGGAGTATTCTTCTTAAGAATTCCCTGTTGTATGAACAAATACCGCATCGGTATGATATGTTGAGAAATCGAGGAGAAAATACATTTTTCAGAAATAACTAAGTACTGTCGATGAAAAGTATTTACCTTTTGCACAATTATTACATTGATTTCATGCAGTTACCTCTCCTGGCCCTCTTACAAAAGGTTATTATGTTAAAATCAAGCTTATATAAAGTATACTTCAACGTCTGACAGGCATGTTTCATGTGCAGCACACACTCAATCAATTACAAAAGTCATCCACTACTATAATGATATAAGGATACAAATTAACATTAAAGTGAAGTTCTTAAGAGAGGAACTCTCCCCCTTTCGCAGATAGGCTAACGAGAAGAGAGCCCAGACCCCTTTTCTTCAAAATGCATCCCCCCATCTAATACAATGCAATTATAGTAATAAAAACTGATTAAAAGTGGCAGTTCTGATTTTCTAAGCTAAGTTATTCCATTGCCGAGTACATCTTGTTTGAAAGAATCACCAGCAAGATAATGCCTCTCGCATTAACTCTCTACTAATGGCAACTGGTAAAATCAACTGATACTTCAACTAAATACTACACTAAAAACTAACTCTTTGGCCCACAAGTAGAGCTGCGCAAAGAAATGAGCTCGGCGTCAAGAGCAACTATAAGCGGAAAACGTTTTGCTATAAGCCTTTCTTACTTTATATTGTTGTGGAATTTCTTAATGGCCCAATAGTTGAAAATTTCGTAGCTTCATGATAGGCAATTTGTTGAGATACCTCTCTCTCTCATAATCCCTCTAAAACTATATCTATTACCTTTAAAACTATATTACCATTTCCTTATTTCCTTACTACATTGTATTATCGGATAATGCAGGATGAGTTACAACGACGCTAAGCTGTCACCTATATACCTTTACGTTCAGATAATCTGAAACTGCTCATATATCCACAATATAAAATTATGAAATTTCTATGCGCAGCCTTTAGGTTTGTTTTCCAAAAAGTGATTGTTTATTTCTTTTTTCTACTTGCAAAGAGTTTCTCGTTAGATCTTTTAAATCAATGTTAATTTCCAATGTATATTTCGAACATCGAGATATTCTTTTAAGGAGTTGATTTATACTGGCAGTTTACAATCTAACTTAAAAAAGAGTTCTGTCAGTATTTTCACCGGTTCAATCAATGTTATTGAGTAAATCCATGTACATTTGGTGATAATTTTCGTCTTCACAAACAGGAAATCTACCATCTCGTAGCAATTGTAATGCTTTAGAAACAAATTGCCTTCTGTCCCAACTAGAAAGCATTAGGGGGTCAACCTCTAAACACAAAATAACGAGAAACTGAAATTCGAGTTTCTTCTTCATCGTAAGACTGAAACTGGCCCTTTTATCAGCTAGGTTGCTGTAGATCTTCTTGGCAAAAACAATGGATTCCAAGTATGACTCTTGACAAGAGAGAATAATGGGCAAGATTTCAATTATAAATTGGTAGTCCCAGGTTTTGATTGCTGATTGACTTTCGAAGCAATCCTCGAGAAAACGTATGTATTCCATATATTTAAATGGCGGCACATGGTTGTTCTTGATAACGAATCTTACCATGTTAATGAGGACCCTGGGGTAGCTTTTACAATCAAACAAAAACTGATTGTATTTTCTCTCAAGCTCATCTTGGCCTTCATGCTTCCTGATAAAGCTTGATCGCTTCGCAAACATTGTGATTTTCCTTTCCCTGTCTTGCTCAGCATCCGACAAGAACTTGCGATCATATACAATCCTTTCCAGGCTTTTCTTATCTTTTTCGTTTATAATTTCGGGAAATCTCTCCGATACCTCGAGTGCTCTCTTGGCATGAGGGCGGCAATGATCTTTGATAAGGACGTGACCTGTTTTCAAAGCAAGAAGCTTGCTCCAGTCTCCTACCGCTTTTTGAATGCAGTCCTTAATCACACCATGATGCTTTTGCACATAAATGAGGTGGTCAGTTGCAATCTCCAGATCATGTATAGCTTGTTTTGATTTACGGATGATTTCAGCTTCATCATTTTCAGTTTTGATGATGTCTAATTCGAAGAAGAACTTCGACTTGGCAAGCCTTAATAAATCCTCAGAGGGCTCTGTTTGATTCAGCAGATATTGGGTAACCTCTTCATATATTGTCGGATCGTCCTTGGATAGGCTCTTCACTATCATTGACCACAGTCTTTGATCGCTTGATGAATCGTTCAGAAGACTTGTGTATCTGTCCTTCAACTCCATATTCATACCTCTTTCATTCATATTCTTGCTAATAAACTCGAGGTAGTCTTTTCTTTGCAACAACGATTCATCTACACCGTCGGCATTGCCTTTTGCTGTTATCTTCAGCCAATATGTATTGTGATCCCCAATGCACTTGTATTTTTCTCCAATTCCAATAGCCTCCTCAGCGAATTTCTGCCGTTCACTAATTGTTAGCAAAGGTCTGCATTTTAATGCGAGGTAAACGTTCCATTTGTAAAGAAAAATGACCATTGTTCTTGCGACTCCGTCCTTCTCAAGAGAATCTTCTTTCAAGTTGTGTTCTTTAAACTTCTTCTCTAAGTGGTTCCTCGCCTCACGAAGGTCATCGACAATTTTCTCTCCTTTTTGAAATCCGATGCTTTCATCTACTTCATTGCTCAGCGATTCCATTTCAGTGTGAAATTTATACGATATTAATGTCAATAATGGATGAACTGCCACTTCATTGCTAAAAAACCTCTCCATGACCATTTTGCCGTAACGTGAAGAGTCAAAACTTGTAAGTGACCGCAAAGCCAGGCACCAGAATTTTATATCTGTTACTTCGATACAAGATTTTAAAACTTCCTCAATCATGGATACTCCTTCCTGCCTCTTTTCTTGAAAATTTGATTCTATCAAAAACCTTCCTTTGTCCAAACTTATTGATGTAAACTTTTTGTTTCCTGTTACTTTCATCTCTTTGCCAATTTGTTCGGCTTTCACAAAGGCTTTAAGGGCTTTTTCGTTTTCGTTATATTTCCAGTAGCTTTTAGCTAGCTGGTCGTGGCAATCAATAGTCAGCCAATTGTTTCCAAAATTTTCCTCGCAGATCTTAATCGATTCTTCGTGCAACTTTGCAACTTCACTCACTTTACTTAAATTTGAGTCAGCTTTCTTATATATTCTTGATTTTAACTTCAACAATTTGTGTTCAAAGTATGCCCGCATTAGATGATTTTCCAATTTTTTTATTCTCTCTATCACTTCGTCTATGTATTTACGATCAGCGTGAAATTTCTTCTCCGTGTAATCTACAAATGGTATTTCTTGAATGGTAGTGCTGATTGTTCGCTTGTCCAAAAGCGCACGACCATATTCGTCAAGCTCATCTACATCAGGAGGAATAATTTTTGTGTGCTGGTAGTACTTCATACTGACGTCATAGGAGCAACACCGAATAACTGGTCTGAGATTTTCATGGGCATACTTTTCGCAACCATCAAAAAATTTTGTCACCAGCGTCGGTGGGATGAGATCAATCAAAAACAAAAGGGACGATATGTAATCTGGAGATGGTCTTTCTACCAGCTTACCAATAAGATTTACCTTTTGCAAGTCACCCTCAAAGCCATTCCCAATCCTCTCGATTACAAACTGAAAATTGTTCTTGTGTTGCATGAAGTCCTGGAGGCAAGAACAGTAATTATCTTTGTTGAGAGAGTCACGGGCAAGTTCAAACAAACGCGTCACAAAAAGAGAATAATATTCTCTTTCATATTGCTCTTTCTTTTCGGGATCCCATTTATTCTTCCTCACAATTTCTCCAAGAAATGGGTGCATGATGTATTCTTCTTGATAATCCCTTGTTACTAAACCATGCAGGCTCAACGAGTTTAGAAACCTTGCTTTTGCGTTCACAGACTTAGCAAGCATTTTGACAGCCGCATATTTAAATCCGGTTGGAAAGACAGCCAGCATTCGCAACAGTTCTTGCTGTGCTTCACTTAAGTATTTGAATGATGTCAAAAACAATCGTTCAAAATTTGTGTTATCTTCAGATATGGTGTCAATTGGGTTCTGTTTTAAATCATCTAGGTAATCTTTCAGAATATCCGTTTCTTCAAACTTCTTGACCGCTGAAACAGTTATTTTTAAAGCGTGTGGCAAGCCTTGGCAAATTTCTGCGAGCTTGGAAACAATATCTTCTTTGTGTTCAATCTTGTGATTGCAGAGTTCAGCATTAAGAAATCTCTTGCTGCTTTCATCGCTTAGGGTTTTCAGCTCTATCTTGTCTAACTCATCCTCCAAAACCTGACAGTATCTTGCTGTAAAAATGGCACGAATCTTTCCTCGAGAATTATTGTTTATCAGCCTCTTCAATTCGAACAGCGAGTTGGAGTCGTCACTTGATTGCAACAGGTTATCTGCATTATCAAAAATCAACAATGCCCTCCTTTTGGTTGCAGTGATACTTTCTAATTTCTGGTTTAGACATGAAACAACGTCACTTTTCATTTCACTGGTATCGATACCAAACTCTTGTAAAATCTTCAGCGCGACGTCGCTTATTTTCGGAATTTCTGTGCTAGTCAAATCTCTCATATTTACCCAGATTACGTAGTTATAACCTTCTTCGAACATTTTGTGCCCAAGCATGATAGCCAATGATGTTTTCCCACAGCACGGTCCACCCTTGATGACATGAAAGTATTTCTGAGAAGCCTCCTCTTGTGGACTTAGTTTTAAAGCCAAATCTTCCATTTCCTTGTCCCTTCCAGTGAAGTTGGGTATTTCCATAGGAAGAGTACGTAAGTCTTCTTGATTTTCTCTAAGGGCTGCAATGACAGAAATGCAAAAGCTTGTAGACATAAGGCAGGAGCGCTTGTATCTTAACCATAAACTGCATACAATTACGAAAACAAATCCAAACGGTGAATTAATATGAGAAAAAGCGATTACTTATACCTAAATCTACCCTATTGGTCAGAAAGGGGTCTCTTAGGCCCTCTTAATATAGGTAATATATAATCTATTCTACAGAACTCCACTCGGACGTGTAGAAAATCATTAAAAATGTTGAAATTAGTTTTGATCAATATTCCGGTCATTTGATCTAGCCTAGAATTATCGTGCCTATTTCTCCAAACTGATTTGATAGCATAGCAAAGCTGCTGACGGAAGCACTTAAGTCTGTAAGTCTGTTAGGTGGTACTCACTTTACGATTATCAAGATTACCACGATTACGATTATCAAGATTAATTCATGTACTCACTGACGCGTTTATCGTGTTTTCTAAATCGCTGTTCACAAGAATAAAAAAAAATCCTTGCAATGATGAGCGTTGTATATATCTTGAGAAAATGTATACAGAGAAGAGAAAAGGTAAAAAAGATCGAAAGAGAAAGAAGAGAAGGTTCTGGGTCAGAGATTTTTAAAGTGTCACTGAACTGGAAAAATCAAAATTTTTTTTATTGATGTTATAAGTCAAGTCGGTGCTCCTGAATCCGATGCTGAAGTTCGCTTTTCGGAATTTTGAAGTGTTTTGAAGCTACAACGCTTCAAAGTTGCGATTTTCAAGACTTTTTGTGCGAAAGTTTGTGCGCGGTCTGTGAGGAATTTCAGGAATGTGTGACGCATTAACGTTTATAAGTCGCGGAAGTGATGCGGGCTTCAGTACTGAAGACTGTATTTCGAGTGCGATAAAAAACCAAAAAAAAACGTGAAGTTGATGGAAATAGTGCGATACTTGTGCTCTAAATATCACTAGCTATCTAACTACAAGACATGTGCAAGGTATTATCTTACGAAAAATTCGAGCCCATACGAAATAAGCAAACTTTTTGCGTGCAGTTTTTACCAAGACTTCATGCCGATCATTTACCTTTTGTGAATTATTGAGCGTGTCGAATAAGAATGCTTTTACGAACAGCTTTACAAATTATGAATAAAAGTGAGCAAACTGATCAAGGGAAAAAGTTGATCTATTATAGAACCACACAAATTGCACATTTTTCGGCGCTTTTCCCACTTTCCAACTTGCGTTGCCACTGTCAAAGCATCAGTTATTGCCAGGGCCGTCAAGATGGGATAAGTTGCCCCAGAACCTCGTGGTCAGGGGACCTCAAAAAGTGAAGAAGTTCATTTTAAATGGAATTGATTAAAAGTCCATAAGTAGCACGGTGGAATATTTTTAAGCTTCTATTCATACCCCATCTTTTTGGCGTATCAAACTGCCTATCTCTATCAAGTTTCATGCTGGTATCACAATCTAATGGTTAAATTGTGACAATTACTGCTAAGAGGTTTGGAATCTAGTATCCCAGTCTATAAATAGCACAAGGGAAATTTTTCGGCGTCTATTCGCATCCTATCCTTTTCAGCGTATCAAACTGCTCATCTCTACAAAGTTCCATGCTGATGTCGCGATCTAAAAGTTAAATTATGACCATCACTCCTTAGAGGTCTGGGACCTGGTACCCCAGTCTATAGATAGCATAAGTGGTATTTTTCAGCGTCTATTCGCTTCCTATCTTTTTTGGCGTATCAAACTGCCTTTTACTACCAAGTTCCAAGCTGGTATCGCGATCTAATGGCTAAATTATGTCAATTACTGCTTAGAGGTTTGGAACCTAGTACCCCACTCTATAAATAGCACAAGGGGATATTTGTCAGCGTCTATTCACACCCCATCTTTTTCAGCGTATCAAACTGCCTATCTCTATCAGGTTTCATGCTTGTATCATGTTTTACACAATTTGTAACTTTTTATCTTCTTACGGCCCTCACTATGGCTGAATTGACTATATAAATCTGAATGCGTCACTCGCCCTAGCCTCTTTTCGCACGACCTACTCGCAAAAGAGCCCCAGAAACCCCTATTTGTGGGCTCCAAATTAAAAAACTAAACTTTTTCTCGAAATCAGCGATGATTAGTCTACCAGAATCAACAATAAAAAAATTTTCATTTTTTCAATTCAGTGGCACTTTAAAAAAATAAAACTTCTAGGAATATTATGGGTTGGTTCAAGAACTACGACTGATCGCGAATTTCACTAAAGATATCTATGAATGTAAAATAAGCCATTATTAGAACCGTGGCTCAAATATTATGTTGTCAGTAAAAGAAGCTAAAAAAGGAAAAACCTAGTTCACTCACCCGCCTTTTTCTCTGCCAGAAGCTTTCGTTCAAGGCGTTTCATCTCCTCCGTTTTTATCTTTTCCTTTTCTATAATTTCAATGGCTTTTGTAGGCCATTTTAATTTTTTGTAAACATCCATAACATCCTTGAAATAACGATTGGTATCTGTTTGAGACAATTTTGCTTCCGGAAGGTGGCTGATACTGTTCCTGAAGTTACGCAGCTTCTCTATGTGGGGTTTTTCAGTGGCAATGTCAAGACCAGCGTTGTAGATTGCAAAAACAAGACATCCTGTGTCCCATTTCTTACTATTTCCAGCATTGATTAGCCTTTCCATATCTTTACCTTTAATTCTAGCTTTTGCAGATATTTTTTTCGATAGGTCGTCTCCATTGTCGAGTGAATCTTCCCATAACCTGTATCCCTTATTTTCCCATTTCTTGATGAAAAATTCTCTCAGCTGTTTAGGAATTTCGTCATGAATCACTTTCTGCATTCGAAAAAAATTTTCTCCGTCTGCACTTATTTCCATAGTCTGTGAAACAAAAGGAAAAATCATTTTTATACCATTCAAAACTATTGTATTAAATCTGGATTTAACGCAAGGATAAAGCAGGTTTTGACAATAATTGAATCGGGGAGAGTGAAGCTATCAACTACCATCCAGGACAAAAATGGCGTATGTAGAAATCATTCAACCTTTTCGATGACACAAAAGACTGATAAGAAATTGCTCACTGTTTCCAAAATCTCTGTGAATTTCAACAAAGGGGCTAAGCCCCTATGAGTCTCCTTCCACGGCGTCACTGGTTTCAGAGGAGTCTTTTCTCTTTCCCTTGAAAACCGCACAAGGGCGAGTTAAAATTCAAAAGGCAATGCATGTTTGTAAAATGGCATAAATATTTGGCAGAAATTCGCTTTCTAGAGAAGTGCAATTTTCTGTAGGTTATGTGGTTACATATAAGTGTAGACTTAGGAGGCTCAGGAGCTTGATACCGCTCTGAAAAAGGTTTGGAGGTCGGCAACCCCTGGGATCTTATGAAATGACCTACTAACCGTTATCTAATGTTATTTACTTTTCGGTTTGACCCATTAACGCCTAAACTTAATAAGTATTTTTCGTATCATTATATTTAGTGTCACGAGTTATCAGGAGATTGAGACCAATCCACAAGGAGAAGCTATGAATATCAGAAGCAAGCAGCATGCGCCAGGGCCTAAAACAAGCATGGATCTGACTCATTTTGTGGAGTTGTGGAGGAGCATGAAATACCAATCGAAACGCCTAAGATAGAATAAGAAAAGTTTTTTCAACGCGAAGAGAATGCCCAATCCCAGCCTTATGTATTGCACTCATTTTTATACGAATAAAAGACAAGGTCTTCACCATTGCTATAAGAAATGAGCAATGGACCAGAAAAAAATTAAGAAACTTCGGAACTCGAAGCTTCAGTACTTGCGGAGGAAAATCAATTGCACTTTATGAGATTGTCGTGCTGTTTTGAAGTAAAATGGACTCAGTATGCAGCTTCAATATCTTCTCAAATAAGTATGCATTGATGACTTGCTTAAAAAAGACATCGAGCCTGAAGTATTTTTGGAAATCTGCGATATTATGATTTCCTGCTCGTAGTGTATTTTGAGTTTTATATGATATCTTTCGGTAGATTTCCGAAAAAGTTGCAAAGCAATTAGGCTAAGGTTTTTTTAAATTGGAGAAACGTTTAAAAGATTTGTCTAAAGGCTACTTCAGCTGGACGATGAAAAGCCTGTCGGTGGTAGCTGGGAGGAACATTTAATTGGGAATGTTACAAATCAGGGACTATAACTACCCCCAACCTTTTTTGCAATAGAAGGCTAGAATTTTTTTGAAATTTTACGTTAACGAACCCTTCAGAAACAGTTTTTCTTGAATGGGAACCCTTTTGTTCGTTTTCAATTTGGCAAGCTCCCTAGCTCCATTCCAGCCACTCCCTTTTCAGCCACTCCCCCTCTGGATTTTTTCTCTATTTTGGGCTGGTGCGTGTTGTCTGTGCTACAAACAAGATGGGAGTAAATATCATGGTTTCAAACTACGCGAAAAATAAAAGAGAAGAGACAACCACAATTTATAAATCAGCGAAAGAGAAGATAATTTGCCATCCATAACTAGGTTATCATTAGTATCAAACCTTTTCGAAGCAAAGATTTGATGACAAAGAATTTGACGGGCTGAATGCAATTAAAAACTTTCTATAAGCAAAAAGAGATTCAAGAAAGCTTATTTTTCACTTGGCTTTTGTCCTCGACAAAAATTTAGCAAGATTTCATTCAATCATGCATTGAAGTTTGAGAAATAAATGACTGAGATCACAGAGGTCTGAGACTTGTTCTCAGCGGCATTCTACCAGGCGAGACAGAGGCTCAGATTCTTGCAGCAAACCCTAATTCTGCCGATGTAGAGAGGCTGATTCCCACCTACAATAAGATAGTAACAGGTGGGTAAAGCAACATAGCTCTAGCAACACTTAACAAATATGTGAATTTTGCAATAAATATGCTTGATCTTGCAAGTTTCGAGTTCCGTGAACAGCTTCAAAGATATGGCTCCAAAAACCAAAAACACTTAATGTCTGGGAAGCAAGATTTGATTTAAGAAGGTTTTTGAAGGTGAAAGGAAATAAAAAATAACTTTGTTGGAGATTCGAACAAACCGTGTAAAAGGGTTTCTTTTCGATAACTTTTAGCTGACAAGTTAAAACATGTTGCTAAATTTCTTGCTAACCCAATCCATATATCATAAAAAAGCAGCTTTTGTTACTTATACTTCATTCATTTAGGATTTTGCCAAATTAAAATATGCTATTAGCACTATGGTGGCAGTTTCTGTATTTGCAACGCCCATTTTGCCCATCCCAGCAAAGTACCAAGCCCAATTTCTATAAAAAATGTGGATATGTAAAAATTTCTTATTTTAGGCACTGGCGTGCGCTCTTCGTTGACAGCTATCCATGCGGGAAAGTTCGTTTTTGCACGCCATAGGTATTGATTACGCCAAAAATGTTTCTGTTTGATCCGCCAGCTACCCTGGGCTCCAGAGCGTCGAGTGGAGCGTTGAGAATATAGATCTTTGCGGGAGAATGGAGAGGAGAAGAGAAGAGAGAACTTGCGCTTACAAAAATCCTCAAGCCGAACAGGTAGCTTTGTCGCTGATTGTTGTAAGCAATAGCAATTATCAAATTGTCGCTGACCGTTCTCGTAACTTTTCGACTATATCTTGATATTAGGCTAGTTGTGGGAAGAAATCTTCTTTTGAAGGAGAAGTGCTTCAGTGATTTATGTACAACAAAACAATTTTGCTCCCCTATCAATGTATACTTTGGTATGTGTTTCTAGCAAAATAAGGCAAAATGTTGAAGTGCGCGCCGATTTTTGACAGCCTGTGCTGCTTAAACTTTAAATGTTACATATCGATTCTAAAGAGGGATTATATTTTGCGAGTTGTGAGTTGCCAGTTGCGAGTTGTCAGTTGCGAGTTGTCAGTTGCGAGTTGTCAGTTGCGAGTTGTCAGTTGCGAGTTGCCAGTTGCGAGTTGTCAGTTGCGAGTTGTCAGTTGCGAGTTGTCAGTTGCGAGTTGTCAGTTGCGAGTTGGTTTTTCATCATGTCAGTTCATTCTTTTTACCCCAAAGTATAACAGTTATACCTCATTGTGCGCAAAGAAATTCAGTTACTAAAAATATGTTGTCCTTGGACATGAAAGCGTTTTTTGCAAAAGATATCCATTGAGCTTCGACCGTTCCCTGCTCCAAGAGCTTCCCCCAGGCCACTTTCCGCGTCCACGCGCCTGTTTTTCTTCTAGCAACATTCAAAATGGAGGCTGTCTGCGGAATGGTAAGAAGTTGAAATATTTGTTTAAGAACTTTATTTGCTTTCTATATAATCTGATTATATGTTGGAAATGATTAATCAATTATATTGTTGAGACTAAACAAATTTATGTTGATGAGACAAGCCGACATTTGTCCACTCGCGTGTGTGAGCATCTGTATACTGATAAAAAACCCCTACATCTTTAAACATCTTAAGAGTTTTGATAAATGTAGGACGTCTTGCAATGATAATTGTTTCGTAGTTTTAGATACAGCAAGCACCTATAATCAACTAAAAATAAAAGGCTTTACACATTCTATGGGAAAGGCCTACATTAAATAAACAAGTAAAACATTTTGATATTTCCTTAAGTTTTTAAATAAACAACTTAAACGTTTGATATACCCTCATTTTAGAGCTTCAAAATTTCAAAATTCTTGCCAGACTCAAACTCCGTTTTTTGAGACTTTTCAATGGATGTCTAAATGATGAGGATCAGATGAGGGCTGACTGGCATGAACGCAGGGGAATCTGTTACATAACGTTTGGAAGACTAGGAGCTGGAAACATCTTAGCAAAAAGCAGAAACTGGCAACTCGCAACTAGCAACTCGTAAATTATCATATCTCGATTCTAAATGCTGCTGAGGCCTTTGACAGTAATTGCAGAAAATTATCAATCTCAAGGAGTAATTGAATATAAACTCCTCAGAGCGATTGATAATAAAATAATTGCAATAAGCCTCGCATCTTTTCTTGTTTGGACTTTTTGTAGAAAGGGAAAGATTTGTATTGCAATTCTTGTTCGACTAACAAAGCAGCTTGTCCAAAGCTAGATTATATTTTCAAAAAATTTCAATTTCATTCGATATTCGATGTGAGAGAACAAAAAGATAGGAATAAGCACTTTGCTAGAGATTGATAAAAATAGAAATTAAAGTAAATCATCCTGATGAATAATGGCAGTGACTAGAGCAAAGACAAATATTTGCAGATAAATTAAGATTTTACTTTTTGTACTTTCGTTCTCTTAAATAATTAAACGTCAGCTTCTACTAGCCGTCTTTTTCGTTTGGGCCGCCTGTTGCTAATCAAGTTGGTTTCTAAGAAGCATTTTGTATCTTGCAGGGTGCCCAAAATCAGATTTCGAGCCTGAGGACATATAAACATTTTCATCTGTAAAATTGCTTTTCAACTCTGCCTGCCTTCTCGACCATTTTGTAAGGAAACTTTGATTTTTTTGCCTTGATTCGACCTACTCAGCTCTCTTTTTAACCCACCAACTCGCCTTGTAAGTTAACCGGGGCGCCGTCCAACTCTGAAGCAAAGTAGGTAGCTTTATTTTAGATTGTAAACAAGGCGTTTGACATTACACTGAAATCTAGGTGAAAACAAACTGTTGTTGGCAAACTTACGGATCTTTCTGCGATTCACTTCAAACACGTTGTTAGTCCATTGCAAAGAAACAGAAGACCAGTTTGCCAGCAAGCAATTGCAACTAAAATGGCGAATGAATGCTTCGACCGGCTATTCGCCCTTCCTGAGAACCAATGATGAAATCAAATGTCTTTAAACCAGTAAATCTGTCCTTGACGGCTTTCAAAACATTTACACTTTTCCTGGTAACCAGGTGAGAGTGAAGTTTGCTTGGAAAGTTTGTTTCAAAGGTGGGTTTGTCAGTTATATTACCGCTGTCAAATAACTTGAGTGACAAGTGAATCTAAATGATTCTGATTGGCTACTGTTAATGCCACATTTATTCAGTAACAATGGCCTTTTTCAATAGTGCGGTTTGTCCAGTTCCGCCTTTCTGAAAACAAATCTGTTCACCCTTATGTAAATACGTATAGTCTAATAAAAGAAATATGAACAATAACTCTTTTTAGTGCAACACAGCACATTTTTGTAGGATGTCAAATAAGTTTGGCTTGCTGGTTTTTTGTTTTTTTGGTTGCAAATGAGATGCTCTCATTTTTTTATAAAAAACAAAGGTCGATGTTGAGTACTCCAATTTTTTTAATGTTCTGGAAATTTCAATACTCATTGTTTCTTAAGAGTTTCTTAATTATGATGTCATGAACGATGTTATGAAATATTCGGGGCCTTTTTTTATCACGTCAAGAGATTCGCTTCCGTTCCGATGCTGTATTTAGATGTGGGAAGTATATTTGTATCTCTTGTGTCTTAAGTTCTAGGCCAACAGGGCAATCTTGTTCTTGGATTTTACAAAATTTCGTTGTTCTCAGTTTTATCATGATTTAATAGTCTCTTAATATTTTTGCTTCGAGTACTGAAGTTTCTCAATTTTTTCTGACTGTCCAGTACTCCTTTCTTATATCCAGTTTCTTATAAAAAAATGAGTGTAGTGGGATATTTGATATTTCCTTTCTCACGGTGGATACGAGATTAACAGTTTCTCGCTGCTCTGATGTCGGGAATAAAGACAACGGAGAACAACGGAGGGTAATGGCCAAGTTGAAAGTTTGTAAACAGATCATTTAAAACACATATACAAAATGGGGCGTGTTCCCAGATTATAAAGGGTGTGGCCACGAAACGGACCCCCTGCTGTCGGCCTCTAACATGCCCCTCCAATCTTTCAACCCTTGCTACGTCAGTGACAAGAACACACACCGAACCGACAACAGTGATGAATAGACAATCCAAGGAAGGGTTAATAGCTTGCAAAACATTCGAGGTATTGTTTTTCTTATATATAGAAGTTCAGGGAACAGCAGTGCTTATATGTTATAAACGAGAGTCAAGGAAAAAGAGTCAAAGCGATATCTTAGCATAGCATGGTATGAGAAATAGATTTTGTATCTTCATTTTTTTCTTATCTTTTTCTTAAAATCTTTGTATTTAGCTAATGTATTTAAAAAATTCACAAAACCATTCTTTTTATCTTTTGTCTAAAGGCCTGGGGTAAACATAGCCCTTTGCAACTCTGGGAAAATTCCTGGTAGGGTTGTAGAGAAATTTCCTGTAAGTAATGTATTCCGTGATATGTGATTTTAAATAATTATTGAGCTATTTAAAAAAGAAAACAGAGCAAATAGGTTGGTGTATCCCTTTTATAAGAATCAAATTGCTTTCGCGACACATAAAGCCATTTCATTAGATAACCATCATATACATTAGATAAATGTTTTAATAATTAACTCCAATAATATTTGAAAGGATAGAGATTAAATTTTCATATAAACGTGAACTTCATCAAGTGTAATAGATATTTAACAAGGAACCGTAACAAATAATCAAATGAAAGTTTTGGAAAGATTTGTTGATTATTTTGACTAATGTAGCTAAATCTTGTGCATAAAACATGGATTCTCGAAATCAAATTTGATAATCATAATTCATATAACTGAACCATTAGCATTGCACATTACTTTTATTTTAGTACAGGCTATTATCCCAAATGCTCTAAAAGTGCCATGCCCCCCCCCATTTTTCCCCAAATTAATAGGATTATACACAAAATCTTTTCTTTTGAGGTGTTAAATTTTTTCTTGGCCCGCCCCCTCCACTTTCCAACTTGTGTCGGAGCCCATGAGGGATGCCACATCAATCAATCGAGACGCAAATCCGTACCCAAAACCTAACCTTATCCATATCATGGTTTTGCTTGTGTGTCAAAATGCTGGGGATAGGCTAGTGCAGTAAAAAAAGATAATTCCATAAAAAAATAAATCTGAATATATCATCCTGATAAATAAAGATTGTGTCTAAAGATATATGTTATAGATCGATTTAGAGTTTACATGTTGCAATTTTGACTTCCTAAATAACAACCTATACTTTTTGAAACTCCAGTTTCTACCTGCAGCGTTTTCATACGGCCCACCTGTGGCTTGTCAAGTTGGTTTCTAAGAAGCACTTTGCATCTTGTAGGGTGCCCAAAGCCAGATTTTGAATCCGCGGGCATATACAGCTTCTTTTATAAAAAGAGATGTGGGAAATTGAAAGACTCGATCTCTTCTACGATTGATTTTGATCTCTTCTTTCTACTCGACCGTTTTGCAAGGAATAGTTGATCATTTCTGGCCTGAGTTGACATCCTCAGCTCTATTTGAAACCCGATTGACCGGCAAATTAGGCTTGCATAGCTTCCAGGGTCTCCAACTAAGCTCAAAGGCAGCAGCTTTAATGCAAACAAGGCGTTCGAAATCACAATGAAATCTAGTTGTAAACAAAATAATCATTTTTAGAAAACTTACGATTTTTTCTACCCTTCAATTCCCAAACTTTGTTAGTCCATTTGCCAGCAAGAAATGCAACCAAGATGGCGAAGTAGAATGCTTCGACCAGTTATGGAATTTTTCTGAGTAGCAATGATCAAGTGTCTTGAAACCAGTAAATCTTTCTTTAACAGCTTCAAAACAATTTCTAGTCTTCCTGGTGAGCTTCAAATTAGGATGGAAAGTTTGTTAGAAAGTTTAGTTGGACTTTGATTTTGGTGAGATATCTACCATTGTCATACAACTTGAGTGACAGGACGGCATAAGTGATTCTGATTGGCTACAGTAAATACCATATTCGGAATAAATTTCCTTTTAAATACTGCAGAGTATCCAGTTTCCACTTCCTTGAAGAACCAAGTCTTTTCCTTATTGTCTAAAGCCCCGTCAAACGCTCGACACTATCGATATAAGACAATCCATGTCTTCTTTACCCAATAACAAGATAAACTTATCACACAGACCAAGGGATGAGATTCTGAGAAATTTCAAATAAGTCATAGATAGCATAGGATTCCTGACAGTCTCGTAAATTGGACAAACTAATAAAAAATGAATTGCGTCCTCCCAGCAGTTATATCGATAGTACCGACATTTTCTGTCAGTCCTAGGAATACGTATCTTCCGTATCTACCTGTTTCGATCCTGAGGTTGTGAGCATTGAGACGTAGTTTTGCAAAGTATGCCCTTTTATTTTTGCTAGGTAACAAGTCTAAGTAATACTTAAACTTGTAAACAGTTTTGAAAGATGCATATGTACAAAGCTCATTATTAAGATTAATTTGCTCATTTAAATTCTCCATAACTTTTAACCTAAACTTGGAAGACACTTTCGATTTCACGGTAGAAGAATTATCGGTTCAAAGTATTCCATAAAGGGTCATCAGGGAACAGGCAATACTGACCCAATTCAAAACACCGGAATCTGCATCATTAATTGACATTTTTAGAGCTCTGCATGCATATCTTGAGCTCTAAGGTGTAGTTCTTAAGGAAGATAATGAGAATACCGTGGACAGACAAGGCGAGCAACGAAGAAGTTCTCGCAAGAGCCGGTGTAAATAGAAGGCTTATTTAAGGACACCAGAATGAGACAGATGCGCTTCTTGGGGCATGTGCTTCGGAAATAGGGACTTGATAACTTGGCACCAACTGGACAGATAGAGGTGAAGAGAAGCAGGGGAAGGCAGATAATACTGTGGATCAATAGCCTAGCTGGATGGATCCTAGAAAATGGTTAAAGAGACAGAACTGCCAAAATCTCATAATATGGCACCAAAGAGGGAGATGCATATCTTGAAGAATCAAGATTAAAGGCAGTATGTCGTACCGTTCATTGGTTTACAGAAACGAAAAATTAAATTTCTAATTCAGCGAGTTTTTATTTCCTATTAAAGGGGTCTTTTACTTCCTATTGATCATTTAAATACTAATTTGTTACGTTTCTCTAATTTCGAGGACCCTCCAAATTCAGCAAACAATAAACCAATGAACAGCGCGACATACTGCCTTCAATCAAATGAATATAAAATTTTTAAATGTTATAATGTCTGTGTCTAAGCAACTAAAAATGACCCAACTTTGCATAAACCCTAAATGACGTCATAGATCCTTAACACCTATTTCAAGGTTTGTCAAGAGTGCCAAGAGTTGACTCAGAGTTTATTTTAAGGATTTTTTATCACTGCACATATTTTTGCAAAGTTTGATCATATGGGCGTTGTCTTTCTTATTTTTTCATGACCACGCCCCTCCTACTACCAGAATATTATGATCCACTTATTTCGTTTTCTAAGGAACAGGTACTCACAAACAGTGAATCGTATGGATACTTAGCACTAAATTGCTTTGTTTTAGTGTTAATGTTTTGTAATGTAGTCTCAACATTAGAGGAGGAGGTGTCGTTTCTTTCCTGTCAGAATTCTGTTTATTTAACTGACCAGGTGTCGCTTTCCTGTCATTATAAAATAAAATTGCTTTAATAACAGGTCAAGGTAGCTGAGTTTCATATACTTTGTTCAGATCTCGTCTCGGGAACTGTTTGATATTTGGTTTAGCCTACTTTTTAAAATGTTTGTTCGAGAGAAAATGCTCTGGCAAGAAGAACGTCGCCAAAGAAGGATGAATCAGTTTGTTTCTGAAATAAGAAATTTCAATGCAATAAGGTCGGAAATTTTGTATGCAATTGAAAATTTTAAAAGAAACAGACTAGTACTGGATGATAATGCCAAGGAGAGTTTTTCCAATTTCGTGGAATTCATTCCAAATAAAGATAGCATTTGTGAAGTCCATAATGCAGTTGCACCCGACATTGACCTTTGTGTCTTGGCTGACCAATACGAAGATGTAAAACAGAGCAGCATGGATAAACGATCAGTAACAGTTTGTACATAAATTTGAATATGCCTGTATTGGCGCAACACGATCCGCGACCAGCTGTTCATTACTTCATGACAGATAGAAAACGCCGAAACCGAGATTCCTCAAAAGCTGACAAGCAGTCTTAGTTCCGGAGTTTTCAAAAGCCGAGATATTGAACTAGAAGAACGTGAAAATAAGTTAGTCCAGCGAAGTTTTTAAACTGTTCACTATTTACTGTTTATTATTAGTTTGTTATTTGTAATGATGATCTTCAGGACGGCATTTACTAATCAGAATATATCTTGGAATATTCCTAAAATGGCTCTGTTAAAAAGTTATCACTACACAAATTTGATTTTATCACTGCACAATTGTTATATTATTCCCGTCCTAGTGTAATAGTAATCGATCCTTGTCCTTGAAACGAAATGGCGAACACAAAACAGACGACAAGAAATAAAACGGCGAGGTAACAGCGATATTTACAATATTTACAAATCAGCGAGTAAGTGAAGGAGCGGTCATAACAAAATCCATTGAGTTCTACAATATTGGAAATTCTAAATCCATGACAACTCAGCTTCAGCTAAAATCCAACTAGCAACTACCAAAATCCGATCTCCTCTAACTTCCCCCAAGTTCCTAAACCCACGCCTAACTAATCTACATAAAAGGCGCGAAAACAACAACAACAACAAAACTAAAACAATACATAAAACAATAAACAACACAACACAATTATGATTTATCACTGCACAAATTGGTTGTCACTGCACGTTAAAATAAACCCTGAGTTGACTTGCAAGCCATCAGATGAAATTTTACCAGGCATTCCCACGTACCAGATTGCCATAAGTCATTTGCATTATTTAGGATCGGAAGTATTGTAGATTCAAGTGAAAATAGAAACAGTCTTGGGTTGAAACCATCCCTTTCGTTGCCTTTAGACAAGAGAGCAAAGTAAGATTTTTGAGCTTTTGTTAGACGCACACTGCAGAAACCATTAAATTTAAAAGTAACTTCAAGTTATTTGTACTCATTGCATTCTTTGATCCATTTATCATCAACTCCTCAAGTTTTGCATTAAAGTATTTATCTCCATATTAATGGACATGCAGAACTGGTTTAGCTCGTTTAACTGAGATTGCAGATCTTCAACAGAATTAGCAAATAAAGTGAAAAATAAAAGTGTTTTGAATACCCCTAGAGGTAAATCACTTTCAAAAAGTGGAAGAGACTTTTTGGCCGTAAAATCCCAATAGTGCCGTTGAAAATTTTAAAGATTTTTTAAAGTTATAGAAATTTTTAAGATTTTTCAGCGATTCTGGGGATTTTTATGCGCATATATGCATGTGATTATTTCCAGTAAAGCAAAAGAAAAACCAGAATAATCTCCCATTTTTTAACGTTTTGATAAATGTTAAATAGGAGTCATAGTAGGAGTCACAATATATAATAGGAGTCAAAATTGACATACAGTAAGCTGAAAAAGCAAAGATATAGCTATGCCAAAGTTTTTAGAATCGAACAACTTAAATCGAATAAGTTAAAATATTGAAGGAACTACTTCCGACAGCTAATAATTTGCCTTTATTATAGAAGCATAAAAATGTCATACTTATCACGGAACGTCATTTGAAAAATCAATATGCAGTTGAACCCCGTTAATATGGCCACCAATGGGCCACCAAATATTGGCCGTATTAACGGGGTGGCCGTATTAAAGAGGAAGGGTCAAATTTTGGAGTTTAAGGGGTAAAGATTAATAATAACATCTTAAGGAACTGTTTTCTTAAATAGACATCGAGAAATGTAGATAAAGTTATAAAAAAATATGTTAAATAACTAGTCCCACAAACAAAACGAAACGGAACTCCTGGGTTCTTGGGCCTTTTTTGGGCCTTGGGATTTTGCAAAAATCGGTGACTTTTGAGTGGCTCGTTCTGCGTTCCAGCCAATCACTTTGAGTGTGGGAAAATACACCTCAGGAGCGCCAGAAGCACGGGGCAGCGGGGGCAGCACTGTGCCACTGTGAAAATGGCACTGTGTTTATACAAATGGCATAAATAAATAAAATCTCAAGTTCTCTGGTTAGGAGCAAAATGAAAGCAATTAAGATATTGGGTGCATTTGTTATGAACCTATATGCAATTATGCTATTTCTTTCGGCAACATATAACTCTAAAATGTAGGAAATTACTGTAGAATTAGGTGAGTGGCGTAACGGAGGCCCCCTTTAACGAACTGTAGTAGAACATGTCAGAAACTGAGATGGGACCCCTTTAACGAACTGTAGTAGAGCATGTCAAACACTAATGCAATACGCGACACTAATCCAAGTTAACTAGTAGAAGCTTCAATTGAAATAATCTAAAAGCTTTTAAAAATGAGGTGAACTTTAGCAAAGTCATCAGAATTTATAAGAAAGAAGTTGCCATACCAATAGAGAAGGTTACAAAGATGGAAACCCTTTGATCAATCATAACTTCAATTTAATGCCATAAAGAATAAGAATATCTGCCAGAGCTCACAAGTCATTTCAATTGTACAATTCATTTGCACTTTTATCTGCACCTGCAGAACGTACTTTTAGCACAATGCAGCGTGATACGACACGGTAGCCAACAGCACACGGGGGATGGGCAAGCCTAATGCTTAATTTTGAACGGGACGTGCCATTTTGGTTGAAAAATTTGGACCTATAATTCCGCACATGTATGAAAAAATATGACCCTGGGTTCTGCAAACATGATGAAAACTATACCCATAATAATCTGCAAAGCAAATAACATCTTTAAAGCACAACAAAATCATTAAACAAATTTGCATGTACTTTGCCAAAAATCTCAATATTGCACATATTTTATACTTCCATTTCTAACTAGACATTCATTTTGTTAATGCTCAATCTCCCTCCTAATAATTTTGCCATATTTTTCGAAAATGGTACCCATTGTTCTGCACATGTTTCAAAAACAGATAACGATAATGCCGCACTTTTCAGAAAAAGGTACCCCTAAAAAATGGCACGTCCCCCTACCTTCAAAAATGTTAATGTACCCCCTCCCCCCGCCCAACAAAAGCCTAAACAACAGAATTGGAAATTTTAGACTGGCCTTTTAGGTTAAACGTTTTATCGGTACCAGAGTATTATGTTATATGATTTTTTTGCTATAATTCTAATTATAACCATTGAAAATGTGCCCTTTTTGAGTAGCATTTCCATCCAACTAAACTTTGATAAATCGCAAAGAAATACTTAAAAAACCCACCAAACCAGATTAAATATGTTTATTCATTTATCCACAAAACATAGTCTGATATATTTTTTGGAAGGGAAAAAATAACACAAATTTTGTTTTGAACATCATAGCTCGTCCAATTTTTTACATATTCAGCTGATTTTGCATATTTAGAAGTGTTTCATTGTGTTTTTATGTCATGTGGCTAAAATTATAAAATTAAAAAAAATAGTTTTCTTGACATCACACTTAAAAATTATGTTGAGTCCGCGAATCTCAGCAGGTCCATTGCAAGGCACGCAGGGGTTTAGGGTACGATTTTGTTGCCGATTTATAAAAGTTTGATCGTTTTTGTGAAATATATTACATACTTCTCGATTAACTAATTACGAAGGAATTTCGATAAACGGTTTTTTGGCGATACAGAACTTGAAAATGGCTTTGAAAAAAGGAAACATTTCACAGCAAGAAAATTTACTATTAGTGTCCAGGAAGAAACGAGCTCCTTCTGTTTACACATAGAGGCTTTTTTGCACTCCTTCTGTTTACACAATATCTGCATACAAACGTACAAACGCGAATTTTGATAATATTTTAGTAAATTTTTAGGGGTTTCCAAAAGATTTGAGAGGTTTAGGGATATTTGAGACTTTTTATAAGCTGTACGGACTTTAAAAGATTTTTAGAGAATTTTTCACAAGGTGAACGAAATTTTGCTGAAATGCTGAGGTGGCAGATGAAATGAGACGCTGCGGAGGCCGTATCACATTTGCGTCATTCACATGAGGCCTTTTTCATGTCAGTAGCAAGATGGAGGAATACGCAAGAGAGCCATGGTAAGAATCCCATCGTTCTGTCTTATTAAAACATAATTCTGTTATAAATAGAGTGATGATTTAGCAGCTTTAGCTTTTAAAAATACCACAATGGGCTGTAAAGTCTTTATTTAATACGTGCTTAGCCCTGTTTCCAAAGAACAGAAAGGTCTATGGATGTAGGCCATTTTTCGGAGTTTGGGTAAAATAACATCCCCTTTCTTGAAAGAATAGTAATATACCCTGATGAAATCACGTTGCTATATTAATCATTCAAGAAGCAATAAATGATCATCTCATTCTCCGGGGTTTCCCCTGTTTTGAGCTCGAGAGAAAGTTATGTCTTTTCTTGAAATTGGGCAAAAATGCAGATAAGCTCCTTCCTTTGTTTGTGGTAACATTAATTCCATTTTCTTGCAATTTTCCTATTTCTTCTGAAGTAATTTCAATGCATTTAACACCTTGAGTTTTTGCAAAAATAAGATCATTTAAAACCTTTTTAGGGTGAAACATATCCATCCCATGTGACCATTCACAATATAATAGTTATATAACACATTTGTATTTCACTGATGGACTGCTTTTGATTGCAACAACTAGTATGAGATGAATTTATTATTGTAAATTGCTGCTATTAATATCAAGTAAACTGTTAGGTATTCAATTTTTTATCTTTCTTCCTTTGAAGGGCCTCTCCAGCCAAAAATGATATTCATTTTTATTATTGAATAACCTTCAGTTTTTTGTGTGCATTATTTTTGGCAGATATTTTATTGTTTTAATGGTCTAGCAGGCAGTTGAATTTAAATTCTGTAGAATGTATTGGTGTGCCAATTAAAAAAGTCCACTTTTTTCCTTGCACTTCAAATCAATTTGTCTAAACACAAAGTTCATAAGCTGTTTAAATCAGAGAAACGAGCATATGAGCAGTAAAACCAAACTTAAAAGATATAAATTACCAAAAATAGAAAAACTGTGAATCATTCAATCCTAGAATGCCAAAGAAATTCAGAAAACATAATCAAATTGGAAATTATAAAGGAAAACCTTAATCAGATAATAATTTTTCTCAAAAAAAGATCAAACTGGAAGCATGAATTTGTCCTGAAGAACTCAGCTTAACATGGCCCATATGCCTGGCAGGAACATCTACTGGCAAAGAAAAAATGTAATGTACCATGGATTGGGCCATTAAAAAAATGTAATGCACCATGGTTATCTTCTAGATAACCCAGATTCTCCAAAAGTCTATAATGATGATATGTTTCATATGGTTGACAAAGCCCTGTCATCTTTCAGTCTAGCAGTTTTGGCATTGATAAACATACAAAGAAAAAGCTGCTATTGTGTAGACAGTAGGAGTCTCTTTTTTCTTTTGGAGTCAAGTGGTGGTTTTTTAGGCATGCAGTACTGACTGGACAACTATACTGGTAATGTGCTTGCGTTTTTCTGTATGACCTTTTTTGATCCACAACTTGGTATGTATTTTCATCTTGATCTTCCGGGCCCTTATCCTGATGTTTTGTACCCTGAGTGATGGCAGGCAAAAATACTTTTAGTATGATGTAAAATGTTTGTTTTTTCATTCCATTTTCAAGTTTTGTACTACCAACAATTTTTTTAGTCCATACAGAATAGTGGATGATTGTGGTGGGGCATTTGCCATGGGAGCAATTGGTGGTGGTCTATTTTCATTTATCAAAGGATGGAGGAATTCACCCCCTGTAAGTGTATAATTTTTTGTCACCTGCTTATCTATATAATACAAGGAATGTTCCAAAGGGTAATATTTTTGTGATGCATATACCTTGCTGTATGGTTTAAGGCCAGCTAGGTTTGGGGGGAACCAAATATTGTAACAACATTCTCTGGGACTTCAAGCTGTTTTTTTTATTATAAATTTCCACTGTAACCTTAAGTAATTACTGTTATCCAATTTACCAATTTATCACTAATTTTTTAGTTATTATTCCTTTAAAGAAAATGTTTAACTAATACAGGGGATGGTCTCTTCTTAATTTGTTTATGAATCTATTGAGATAGCCTCTTTGGTTAGGCGGTCTCTGCAAATGATTAAATGAATCTATCAAGAGAGCCCCTTCAGTTTGCTATATATGTTTAGTTTTACCAAGCATTTAGCTAAGAAAACTTTAGAAATATAAAATTATGCAATGCCAAAAAACAAAGCCATAACCACTGTCTTTAAGGAGTGAGCAACTTTGGTTTTTTGTCCACTTTTCTGTACAAGTTCTTAAGTCTTGTGTGAATCCTCTATGTGCTTGATTTACTCTGAGGATGGTTAAAAATTTCTGTATATCTGATCAAAATTAAATATATATATATAGGCCAATAAAGAAAAGAAGGCATTGAATATGCCATTATTAACATGTTTTCATTATTATTTATTGCATGGAAACTCGCCATTGTTACCACCATTTTGGATTTACCCTGGTAGCAAAACAAGCATTTCTGCAAAATTTCCAAGCCTGAGAAGCCTGTAATGTTAGATTTGGAAGTACAAGAGTCTACAGGCATACAGTCTTTGTGATATGAGGTGGCAATCACACAGGCATGCCAGCACACACGCCCAACTGTCCAAGGCATGGAAAACATCTTAAGGCTGGAATACACAAGGCATTTAATTGCCAGTCAACTAAATGCCTGTTGTTTAATCCAATAAAGATGACTTTCATCTATGATTCAATTTGCCTCATTGTCCCTTACTCGGAAAATGCATAAGAATAGGCATCGATAGAAGTTGGTTAATCGTAGAAATAAAGTTAGCGTTGATAAATTCGCTCTAAATCAAGACGATATGTATGGCATGTTTTAGTGCCATCCACAAATTGACAAGGAGCTATTAGAAACTGTCCTTCAAATGCTCTTGTCAATACACTGAACAATAGCAATCAAAGAGGATTAAAAAATACAAAAAGAACTTCCGGGCATTTTATTGCCCGAAAGTTGAACATGTTCAACTTTTAAAATGGAAACTCCGGAATGTTGATAATTTGAAAATGTATGGCAATAATTAGGTAACCTCTGCGAATACACTAGGCATTTTACTGTGAGTCAACTAAATGCCACAATTAAATGCCTAGTGTATTCCAGCCTTTACACACAAAATGAACAATTCATGAGAAAATTTTATTTAAAATTCAATAGCCTTAAAGTTCTAAAATATATTTCTAAAGCAGTAGGAGGTGAAAGTCATCAAATTTTAAGCCAGTTTTCACAAGTGTTAAAGTATGTCCATAATGGATTTAACAACAACTTCACAAAGTAGTTAAATATTCTTCAATTGCTACATTATCATAAAAGGTAGATCAATCATATTGAGAGCTAATTTTCTGATGAATATCTCTGTTGATATCCACTACCTTAGCTTTGATATGAAATTCAATGGTGTTGGGTGGCAATATTCAAAAGGACTATGTTTATGAACAATTGACAAATTTATGAACATTTTGTTATGGAAATTCACAAAGCTTAAGGGTAAGCAGATGTCCCTTTCCTCATTGAAATTCCTAACTTATAATTACATTTATTTTTCCTCTATTCACAGGGGCAGAAATTTGTTGGTAGTTTAGCTGCAGTAAAAACAAGAGCTCCAGTCTTAGGAGGTATGAATCAATATAATTTGATCAAAGTGTTTATTTTAATTTGTTTGTAAGATTTTGAAAAAGATATAAAAGTTCAGATGTAGATGTTTAATTTTTTTATATGGAAAGTACTTCTGTTTCTTCAAGGAAATTTTGCTGTCTGGGGTGGAACTTTTTCAACATGTGACTGCTGCTTGATGGCAATTAGAGGAAAGGAGGACCCTTGGAATTCAATTTTCAGTGGAGCAATTACTGGAGGTGTCTTAATGGCTAGAGGTATGCTTTATGTTACACAAAATTCCAATTTTACACTTGTGTATGCTGTATTGACTTTAAATGTATGTACGGCAGGCCTTGTGAGGAGCAAAAAGCAGGTGCTTGACAAACTGAGCACCTTCAATATTCTAGGCGCTCGATTTAGCATCATCAACTATCATCAATAACAAAATTTGCTTTTTGGCATTTAGTTTTGAGACAGAATAAACATGCTAGGAGCTCGACCAATCAAGCTCCTAGAACTTTTTAGGCGTGTGTGCAGGGCACTTGATTGAGCTTGAGTACCTCTCCTTGTAAGGCTTGATGTTTGCATCTCTACATACATCTTTAAATATATTCTACAGTTGATAAAAATTGTTTCTGGATTTCTGGTGAATCTTCACAATACATTGGTAAAAATATTTGTGCATTATTTTTTTTGCTGACAAGATTTTCTTGTTCTATATGGAGTTCATGCTTTACAATTTTTGTCAAAGTCAATTTCTGTGTTCCAGCTGGACCATCTGCAATGGCAAGGTCTGCAGTTGTTGGAGGAATTTTGTTAGCTTTAATAGAAGGTGTTGGTATCATGATAACTCGTATGACAGCAGAGCAGTTCAAACCAGGTATGGTAGTTGTTTGTTTGTTAAAAATCAACTCATTTGTGATTGTGTTCATTTGATAGCAGGAACTGTGTCTTACATATGCCAAACTTTTGTGGCAGCTTGGATGCCGGATTCCCACAATGTTCAGAATAACAGACCAAATATTCAGCAATTCAAGATATTGACAATATTTGCAATATTTGTAGTGCATAGTTTTATTGATCTTGTCTTACTTAGCTGCATTGATCAAAAGAAAAATTTTGGCTTGTAATTACAACTCCTTTTAAGGCAAAATAATAAGGTGTGTTTAATGAACTAAGAAGTCTTTTAGGGATGTTTACTTGCACTAATTACCTTTCGGTCAGTTGAGCACAATTGTATTGTTGACACTTAATAACTCTCTAGGTATGACACTCCATTTTTAGGTATAAGCGCACAGACCCTTGAAGTAAAATCACCCTTTTAAGCAGGCTAGCTTGAATTTTGCCCAGTTTAAGCACACTTAAGCAATGCAATTGTATCCAGATTTCATTTGGTATGCTGACACACTATCCATAAATGCAGTTTCTCATACTATTAAATTATACGTTTTAAGAGTCTGTTAAACAGGCCTGGCCATTGGAGGCGGGAGATCACCTACCTACACCTCAGCTCCCTCCTAGATCACTCAAGAAGGATGATTAATTACCCCCCTCTCCACCAATCTCTCAAGTCCCTGTCTACTGGTTTTGATTTATTTTCATAGTCTTAACCCCTCTGAAACCTTTATGACATTTCTAAATTTTAGCTATTGCATTGCAGTAATGCCACAAATGCCAGCTGATCCTATGCAGCTGCCTCCAAAACCAGTGGCATCAATGCCACCAAAGCAACAATCAGAGTGGGACCAGCAGCCGCAATTCCAATAGAATGTATTGGTTAGTAGGAAGTTTTATTTCCTTTTTTTGTCTCAGTTAATAAACAGTTGAGACTTGAGCTTCTGTAGACACAGTTTGCAACTGGTATTGTTTTTTATGAGTTGATTCATTATTTAATGATAAATTAAGTTCTACTAATTTGTTACTTAAAAATGTTATGGACATAAATTTCTTTTTTCTAGATTATTAGATGCTATTTTAAAAGATTGGATTCATTCAGTTCCTTGTACATAATGACCTGTTTACACGAAAATGCAGGGCCTTGAAAAAGGTTGTTCAGTGGAACAGAAAGAATATTCCTGTGGTGAGGCGGAACTTTAGTAGTGCCTTTATGAAAGTTTCAGTTGGCAAGGTGTAACCTTGCAGACACCTGTTCTGGCACAAGACCGAGTTTGACCTTTGTTTGTTTTGAGTAAAAATTTCTCAAGGCTTCATAACAGGCATCTTTGGGACAAAATCTATCATGAAGAAGCGTCTTTATCAAATGGGACCAAAGTTAATGGATGACTGAAAGTATGCTCCCGACTGACAAATCCTCCTTTGAAACTGATTTATTTAAACCAGTTTAATGCCATCTCTGTAATAAGTGCAAATCTCTCAATTACTTCCTTCGATTATTTTGTGCAAATTTCTAATGATTTAAAGTGTATTTGGTAGTAGCTTGAAGATATACATCAAACAACAGTTGCGTTTCTTTTTTGCAACCTATCCTAAAGGCTACAATTCAATTGGATTTTATAGTTAATCGTATTTAGAAATGCAGCACCGGTTTGTGGTTTTGTCGAAATTTATGTGACGGTAGATATAAAGACCTCAAGGAATCTATTTGCCCGTAGTCAAGCAGCTGGTGAAAAACTTTCTATAATGCCCGAGCTGATTCACCAAGAGAGTGAAACTCGAGAAGGGCGGGCCAAGGCTGTGGGCCTTTTGCTCATCACCAATGTCGATTGTTGTCTAGTGGGAAATCATCTTTGTTAAGACAGGTCTTTTGATATTTGCTTTGCATCTTTAAGGAATACCAGTTTTATTCCGAATCTACAAAGCTGATAAACAAGAGCACATTTTGTTCTAGACCAATCAGCGGGTTTGTTTACAAAATGTCATTAGCCAATCACCGGCTTCCATTTCGAGCTTGATTTTTCAATATTTCAAATCAAAACACAGTTGCTGTGGAGCAAAACCTACCCTCATACTTTTGCCCGGGAAAAAAATTTACGTTTTTCTACGAAGAAGATATTTTAAACATACATTCTAGAGTAATTTTTTGGTACGAATCTACAGGCCTCTCCGTTTAAGGCGCGCGATCACGCGCGCGCGCCTTGGCACGCCCCTGTCGTTGCCGAGACGCGCAATAAATCACGCGCCTGGTTTATAAGAACCCTTTAAATCGCGCTCCTTGTGTTTTGGTTTTGAATAGTTATTATACAAAGAGCCTCTTTAGAGGAAATTGTTATTGCCAAGTTAAAGCAAACACCACTTGAATATATTTCCGGTCAATAACCAATAAACTGTCATTGTGATTCCTGATTGTTATAAGTTTTTTAAATGGCCATTAATTCAAAGGGTCAAATAGAGCTACCTACTTTTCGTAAGTATCGCAAGGACGAAGTTATCGGATCAAAGACCGAAAAATGGAATGGGAAGACAATGATGGTTTCGATTTGGTGTAAAGTTTGCTCAAAACACAAAAGCGTTATTTTATCAAATCCTCTTTGTAAAGGAAGTGCCAAGAAAGCAATTGAAAATTACGTCAATGGAACGAAATTTGATTCTTCCACTTCTTCTGACTCCGATTCTTCATCGGAATTCGAGCTGGAAATTGACGAACTGCAACAATGATCTGTATTTTTGTATTTAGTGCTCTATTAAGTAGTTTGTTTAGATATTTCTAGATACAAAGTATTAACATGCGAAAACATGCCGTTTTTGCCTACTTTAACATAAATATATTTTTTGGTAAAACGCGCGCCTTAACAAGGCGAGGCGCGCGTTTGAGCACGCGCCTGCTAAATTGCTCACGGAGAGGCCTGATAATCTAGGAGCCCTAAGCAGGAACATTAACGGTTGGTAAAATGTCTGCAGTGAAACATTACCTATTTTCCACCTCGGCCCTACCGCCAAAAATGCCTGGCCCCTAATTTACTTTATATGAAGCTTTTGTTAATTAAACAAGTAAACATTTTAAGATTTTAGTTACCTGATAGTTTGCGCAAACAAATCACCCAGCTATCACCTGGGAATAATGTATTTTCTTAAAAAAACTAGGCTTTATAATTGCCTATTCCCTCCTCTACACTACCGCACGGGATGCCTAGGCCCTTTCCGAACCTCCCTCCTGGTCACCACAGTCCATGAAACTCAAACCACTTTTGTGAAGCCATCAGTCTATAGTTTGAAGCCAAAAAGACCAAAATATTGGCAATACTTTCAATTCAATTTTTGAAAGAAATCAGCCTTTGGTCGTTTCAAAGCTATTTTCAAGGCATTTTTGCCACGCTACTGCCAATAGCGAAAATTTTGGTAACTCACTCCCCTCATGAAAGTATCTGGAAAGTTTCGAATTTACAATTTACAGATTTGTAATTGCAAAATTGTTTTCTGAATTTTTCTGTAAGTTTCTTTAAACCTTTGAACTATTTATTTGTCTAAAAAAATTATTTTATCCATGTGTAAGTAAATGTTGTGAGGGTTTTTGTCAAGCTTGTAGCGAAGGAAACGAAAATCGACTCACAACAGCGGCAAGAAATAATAATTTTTTCACAATGATGGAAAAACAATAATTAAGTTGCTAAAATCACTGGATGAGCAAAAATTACTTCTTTCACCACATGCAAATAAGTTTAAAAAACAATAATAAAGAATTAAAATTTATCCTCGTACCGATTTACTTTAGCAAGACTTGCCTCTGTAAATGAATTTTGTGGCTTTATGACCATAGTTCTAAATGATATTTCTGCATTGTAAGAACATTTCAGAACTGCTGAATAAAATAAGCCTTTCTTTGCACAACCTAGTAAGATTTCTATAAAGTAAACTCGCAGATACTTACCTTTATGCTTGGGTGTCTAAGACTGCTCATTTCCCTCTGTGTATCAATAAACTGCTCATTTTCTTATTGTTATGAAGAAATTGGTCAAACATCTTGGTCCAAATTTTTTTTACTTCAACGGAGACCATTGTGAGATATGTTACAAGAGAATTCAATCCATATAGAATTTTTCGAAAGCCTCCAAGTCCATCTTTTCGAAAGCCCATCTTATTGAGTTTTTCGAAATTTCCAAGTCCATCTTTTCGAATTTTTCGAAAGCCTCCAAGTCCATCAATTCACTGCAGCAATGTTCAATCCACTGCACAGAAGACCAAGGCTGCAGTTTTGTCAAAACCACAATTCATCTCCTTGAATGCAAACACTCCCCTCACGAAAGTATCAGGACAGTTCAACGATCGATTTCCTTTTCGGACAAAAACAAATTCAGGCTGGTGATAACGACTCTTTAATTTAGGGATAATAATTTTTTGAGAAACCATTACAAAATCAACCAAGTCACTAAACTGTTGCAAAACATTTGCTCTTTTTATCTGTTATATATTTTTCTTTAAATAATAAACCTTTGCGCTACATGCCTTACGCAAATCAAACGACCAAAGGCTGAGAATATTCACTTGCCACAAAATTCAAGGCCAATATGATCATATTGGTTCTCAAACAACTAAATATGATTTAGCAAAGATATTTCTAAAGTTATCATGCATTGTGCTAAAAACCTTTTAGCAGGTATCAGTAAGGTTTCAAGACTTTGAGACTGTCCTGTAAAAGTGGGTTTTTGTTACTTAAAAAGATGATTTCTTTCAAAAATTGAATTGAAAGTATTGCCAATATTTTGGTCTTTTTGGCTTCAAAGTATAGACTGATGGCTTCACAAAAGTGTTTTGAGTTTCATGGACTGTGGTGACCAGGAGGAAGGTTCGGAAAGGGCCCAGGCATCCCGTGCGGTATTGTAGAGGAGGGAATAGGCAATTATAAAGCCTAGTTTTTTTAAGAAAATACATTATTCCCAGGTGATAGCTGGGTGATTTGTTTGCGCAAACTATCAGGTAACTAAAATCTTAAAATGTTTCCTTGTTTAATTAACAAAAGCTTCATATAGAGTAAATTAGGGGCCAGGCATTTTTGGCGGTAGGGCCGAGGTGGAAAATAGGTAATGTTTCACTGCAGACATTTTACCAACCGTTTGTGTTCCTGCTTAGGGCTCCTAGATTCGTACCAAAAAATTACTCTAGAATGTAAGTTTAAAAAATCTTCTTCGTAGAAAAACGTAAATTTTTTTCCCGGGCAAAAGTATGAGGGTAGGTTTTGCTCCACAGCAACTGTGTTTTGATTTGAAATATTGAAAAATCAAGCTCGAAATGGAAGCCGGTGATTGGCTAATGACATTTTGTAAACAAACTCGCTGATTGGTCTAGAACAAAATGTGCTCTTGTTAAGCTGATATGCGCATTTGGTCAGGGGCGCAAATTAGTCTCACAGCCCCCAAGATTTCCAACCAGACGGTCCTTTCTACGGCTCTTGGACCGGGGGAGAACATTATAGACAACAGAGAATGTTGTTCCATTGACTAAGCAGATTTGTGAAAAGTGGGTTCTTTCTACGGCTCTGGGAATGGGTGAAAACATTACAATCAAGAGACATTAATAATTTTGAAAAGTCGGTTCTTTCTGCGGCTCTAGGAATGGGTGAAAACGTTACTGGCAAGAGAGAATAATAATTTTGAAAAGTGATTTTCATTTCATTTCAAAATATTTATACAGGTTATAAGTTTCATATCAAGATATGTTTTTCAAACCGACCTGTTTAAACGAAAACGCTGAACTAAGAACAAAATAAATTAGTATACCTAATTTACAATATTATATAATACAAAATCTATGAAAAAGAACGTAAAAAATGAAATTTAAGATACAACCCCTTCTACAGTTGTTCTTTGAAGGTTTTCAGGGAGGGTGCCAATTTTGGTTCCTTTTTCGAGACTGTTCCAGAGATTTGCACCGCGATGAGAAAAACCTTTTGGCCATTGATAGTTTTCGGTAACGGTATCCTAACATCAGTATCTGATGAGCGCAGAAACCGTTCTCTGTCATCTGAACATTTCATGAATAATTTTCTCAAGTATTCAGGGGCAAGTGAATTCAGAGACTTGTAAGTCATCGTGGCAGTCTCTTTTCTCACACGATTACTGATAGTTGAACAGCCAAGACTCTGAATTAGCGTAGCAGCTGAAGCATTGTATGGGCTGTTTGTTACAATTCTTGTAGCTCTATTTTGGATATTTTGCAGGACGGTAATTTTTGATTCACTACAGCAGCCCCAAACGGAACTCAAATGGAGCTCAACAATTCCTCTATACATTTTATTGAGAAAAGCAAATGGGAGATATTTCTTAGAATCTTTAATAAGTGCAAGGGATCGCTTTGCCTTGGTTTTGACAGTATCGATATGTTTGTCCCATTCTAGTTGACTGTCTATCTGAACACATAAATACTTTGTATTGGTAATCATTTCAATTTTCTGATAACCTATTGAAAAAGATGGTAAAGCATCAGGCTGGTCCTTTCTATGGCTCTGGGAATGGGTGAAAACGTTACAGGGAAGAGAGAATGCTGATCTGTGACTAACCGGACTTCATAATAA